TACCTAATCAACCTCAAGTTATTTTAAAAACGGAAATTATTTTTTTTATTTATTTTTATGTTTTTATTTTGCAAAAATTTGCTGTGTATTTCAGGAAGTAAGAGAGCTAGGACAAATCTGTGGTGTAGCATATTTAGTTTCATAAAAGAGTAGCATTGTGATGTGAAAATCGCATCTTTGTATTTCTACTCATAAACAAGAAATCCCATAAGTCACATAAAATGGGACGTCCTGTATCTACTGTTGTTGATATTTTATACAATACCAGTTTCCAAAGCCACAACAGAGAGAACATTTTCAACATTGAAGCAAATAAAAACGTATTTCGATAAATGAAATTATGGATGAACTGGCAAACAGACCTATAATAGGTCTTGCGTTATAATAAAAAGGAATTTTTTATTAAAAAAGGACTTTTGAATATTTATTGTATTTTATCCTCTCTTATGTCCTCCAGTGTCTGGGTTTGCCACTGATCTTAACATAATAATGATAACAACAGTATTAATCTCCCATATGTAGCGCCTATCCCCATTGCAATATAGCTACCACAGAAGATACAGAGGTACTAAGAAATCCGTTTTTTTAAGTCTCAAGTTTTAGACTAAAAAGTTAAAGTTTTGCCTAAAGAGGTTATGCAGTGGAATGTAAATTACAATCTTTAGCATGATAGACGTTATTACTGGATGCCTACACATTCGAAATGTTAACGATTCTCAAAATTATTCGAAAATACAAGGTATTATAGATCCTCAAAAATCATCTGATTCTCGCTCTATTATCTACATACAATCGCCTTTACATTGTTTAATAAAACTTATCATATTAAATAATCATACAGCCTTCTTGTGGTGGCCAAAGCTCAGCCACAGTCGCAGGATCACTTTTTTCAATTTATTTATACTATTTAAATAAATATATTTATTTATCTAAATAAAGAGATCATCGGAACTTGCCTCACAGCTTGCTTATACTCACATGAAAAACCATTGTGAGTATAAGCTGTCATATAAGTTAAGCCTATTTCAGTTAGTTGAGCTTGTGAAGTGCCATTTGAATTCAGCAATATGCTGTAATGTACACTGTAACCACAAATACATGCGACATGCGAGAGGTAGCCGGCGGCGGCGCTCTGTATAGAGCACTATAAGAAGAATATGATGTAATTCCTATGTATTTGTAAAATAATGCAATAGAAATATTAATAAAATACCAAAAGGGCAATAAAATATCCAACAATATAACAGGAAATGATTTTCAATGTTCTTAATACCACCGTTCTGATATTTTATAATGTTGGGTACCTACGACAAAGCTGTAACAAATCAGTGCCAAAAAGAATTAAACCTTAAGCCATAAGTCCTTTGGTTAAGTCCTATGCAAAATCAAAATCTAATAACTTAAACCATTAAAGTGATTCGAATCAAAAAAAAGACTTAAGTTTTCTATCAGCTTGCAGCTCTGACCTATGGATATCTTTGCTAGCTTTGTTGTGCAGGTTTTATTGCCTTATCTTGCTTTTGCATCATATCTGCTGTCAAAATAATAATATACCTAGATCAAAAGTACATTGGAGAGGGAGGTTTTAGATAGAACTTGGCACTGGAAACAGGAATTATTTATATGGCAACATCTATCATGGTAATTAGAACTACAATAATTGATTACTAAATAAAAAGGGAAAATTTATTTCGAACACTATAATACAATATGATATGCATTGCCTCAATCTCGACATAAATTAATCAGTGTAGATTTTTTAAATTTTACGTATTTGTGTAGATATGAATCACCTGGTAGACATAAAAATATCTAAAGTATGTCCATATATCATTCTCTAACACGCAAAGTGACAAACCTACTTTTATAATCCCACACACTCATAAAATCATCAAAGTGAAACACAATATAGTAAGTTCACTTTAAATTTCTCTTTAAATTCAAAAAACAATCATCTAAAATCCAACTCAACGAAAAATTTATGATATAAAACCTATCTTTAAATTAACCAAGAATATTAACAAGAGTGGCTATAAATCTGTAATTAGCATTTTTTAATAACCTTTGTAATGTTATAATATGTCTTGTAACGTATACAGATAGCACTACGGAATATGTCTGCCTTTTTTAAAGAATTTCGATTATTTACTGAAAATAAATTGTAACACAATACAAGGAAGTGTTTTAATGTGGAGCAAGATCTATAAAAAGACTAGATCTAATTTTGGAACATACTTCGCCGGTGTATTTTTCTTTCTTGTTCGTTGATTGCATAAAGCTGATGCTGTTGACGAAAGAAATAACAGTAGAGTAAAATAATGAGCTAGTCCAAAATGACTTTATGTTTATGTCATTTTATGAAAAAATGGACTCAGCAATTAAGTACTTTAAAGCTTTTGGGTATGATAATATAAAGTTATCGTTATCATCTCGGAATGGAAGATGAAAATCAAAATTATATAAATTTAATACGGCTTTTGGAAATATAAAAGCTGTTATATGTATTTTCAATATGTATAAAGAACTTTTATATTATCAAACTATTGATTTCTTTTGAACTTGTTCTTTAATGATAATTCCTTATAATAGTCTATATTGTTAATTTTTTTGCTATTAGCAATGAATATTGTAACTGAACTAATATTATTTGATATTAGTACAAGTACTGTAGACATATATAATAGTTATTTTTTATACCGAAAAGATTCGGGAGACGATAATGCAATTTTATCGTCGTCAATATAAAACAATATTTCTTTCCATAGCCAGTTACGTTTTAAAAAATATTCAGAAATTATTATTTCAAGGAATTTATTACGAGTAGAAAAAATATTGTGCTGGGTTGGCGTATGTTTCTATGTAATGTGACAAATAAATAAAGCTGTCTCTTTAGTTGTCAGTTTTGAGTAAATATTTTTGAATTCTTTTTCGTGTCGATTGCTGATTGAATTGGAGCCAGAAATGGATCAAAACGAAATAAGTGAATTACCAACAGATATTAATGCTGAGGCGACAAACGCCATATCCAAACTACTTCCATTTAAATCGCGAATAACTTATGAAAAGGAATACAAAAAGTTTCAAAAATTGAAGCAATTAAAAAACGTGCGAGAAGAAATAAAGTTTTTACCTATCCTCGCTGTTAAAGTTTCATTTAATCTACCCTTGCGGTTAAAGTACTATTTTATCTACTATTTTTGATAGATATAAGGCAATTTTAACAGTTGCTATGGGAAAAATATGTTTTTAAGTTATTAACTTGTTATTAACGAACGTACCTCACTGTGTAGGTATATGTCTCAGCAGGGGCGGATACAGGAATTTATTTTAGGGGGACCCAAATAAAAAAAATAATGCAAAATATGCCTTTTAGGGCGACATTTTTAACCCAAAAGCCTAATATTTAACCCAATTTACAGATTTTAGGGGGGGGGCCGGGCCCCATGGGCCCCCCCTCTCTGTCGCAGACGACTGTGTCGCAGACGAATCCCACTGCCCCCCACTGTGTCGCAGACGAATCGAGTAATTCAACATTTTGCAAAAAGACTAAAAATATTATAAAACGCCAGCGTTTTAAACAAAAACAGGAAATTTTACAAAGGGCCTATCTATTTTCAGTTTCAGTTTTTCAGTTTACAAAATGCCTAGTGAGAATTAGATAAATTAAACAATGATGATATTTGCATTTGCTGTACATTTCTTCAAAAAGACCCCTTGTTCAGTCAATCTTCAAAATGCCTAATGAAAACTAGTCAGATTTAACCTAACTTATCCAAGGACATTCTTTAACTTCTCTTTCAAAATTAGAAAATAAGGGCACAAAATACAGAATATAATAATTAAATGAATATCAATATAAAGTATTTAATATATTTTGTATTTAAAATGACGTTACTTATAATTATAATTTATGAAATATGGTTCAAGTTGTTTCCGCCTAAACAAAATGAAATTTTGATATAAATAATTATTGTTTTTTTATAGTACAATATGTGGCATTTTTAATAATTTTTATTAATAAATAATTTAATTAAATATTGTAAGCGCAATTTTTTCAATATGCTTATGTTCATAGCTGACTGATCTTTGATCATATTTTAATCTGCCTGGTATCGATTTGGCATTTTGATGATTGAAAACAGGCAGTCTTTTTACAGGAATGTATAGAAAATATCGTAATTGTTTAATTTATATCTAAAATTCTTTTATTTTCTTTTAAATGCCGATGCCGGTGTTTTATAATATGCTTACTCTTTTTGCAGAAAGCTGGATTATTCTATACGCCTGCGACATATATACAGGGTCCTGCAACAGTCACTCCAGCATCTATAGGTCCTTCAAACATTTATATTATAGAATATGTCACCAGATCAAGAAAAAACACTTTTTATTATTAACTTATGTTCTTCGTTACCAACGCTATAATAAAGAATTGATTAGAAGATACTTTCATTTAGATTGTAAGTAAATAAATATGTAAATGTAACTAAATATTGTGAATAGTCTAAATAACGGATATTTAAAATTAATAAAAAATAAAAATTAAGAAATGTATACTAAACAATGGATGCGGACTTCATCAAAACAGATGTTATTTTAAAAATAAGTTATACTTTCATAATAAAATATATCACGTAAAGTATAATCATAAAAAAAAATATTTTAATATTACCAACAGTTTTGGAGAACGTTCTGTTATGTGTTTTATAGGTATGTGCCTTCATCGGTCTTGTTCCGCTGATATTTTTAAACATAGGATAATATTTACTTTTTTTATATTTTTAAAAAATAAATCCGTAGATCTATTTGTAGAGGAAAATTATTATTATTATATTAGGAGCTAGAAAAATAATAATTATTATAAAATAAATAATAAAATTAATAAAAACAATGTTCAATATGTGTATTTAAGAACTATTAATTGCAAAAAAATAATTTCTCTTAAGTTAAAGCAGAATAAAAAACCACACTTGTTTGATGAGGAACAAAAAAAACATATAATATTTTAATACAAATTTTATTTCTTATGAGTAAATAGATATGACATTGTTTATGTGAAGCATTATTGCAGTGACAGTGAATGGAATACAAACTTTTTTTACAAAACAAAATTTAAAATTAAATTATAATAAGTTTTTTAAACTTACCACTACTGAGAAAGTATATTTTACTTTAATTACCTAATTATAATCAAAATAATATTTTAAGGGCTGAACAGAATTTAAAAATTGAATAAAATCTAGATTTCTTAGAAATATTTACAACAAAAATGCTTTAAAACAGATCTAAAATAATACTGAACGTTTTTGTTGTGGAAAGATTGTAATTTTTACGCAGGCCTTTACGTCCAGGTAAAGTGATATGGCATTCCTGAAAAAGGTGCAGAATTTCCCTAAAATTCCACACCATCGTACTCGCCTTACAAAAATAGCCCGTGTCGGTTCTCCTTCTAAACGGCCACACAGGCGAGTGCCTCCCTACCTTCCCGATTGAGTTCCGTGTGCAAAAAGTCCATAGACTAGGCCGGTTCGGCCTGCTGCCCCTGCATTCGAATACGGTGGTTGTTTCTAAGAGGATCCGAGCCCTCCTAGACCACTTAGTTTTTACGATCCGACCAGGTACGCCATTAAAGAAGTCGAAATATCTAAAACAAATAAAAAAAATAAAGTGTGCTCTTAACAGTGTTAACAAAAGTGTCTCCGCTATCGAAAGACTGACCTGCTACGTGTGTCTCACAGCAATAGTGTACGACGACGGTGTGTCGGTTCTTAGTTCGCTCATATAGTAACAGCGTATAGGTTACGTCTGTGGCCATATTTGGTAACTGGTAACGATGCTTGGCGTCCTTCCAGTTCGGGTCTATTTTTGAATTTGTGTGTTTACTTTTTGACGTCTGGCAACGGGCCAAGTGGCCTAGTAAGGAATTGCGGCATTTCTCTCACATGCGATAATAAGGATTTTAAAACTAAACTTTTAATATTAAACTAAACAAATAAGTTCTTTTCAAATTTTGACATTTAATTTGGAATTTATATCCAGGAAGTGTTTAATTTTTAATAAACATCTCAACAATTCTTCTTTTGTATAAACTTTACTAGTACTCTATAATAATAAATATTTCCAAAAATTATCTTAAACTGATATAATAAATTTACTATATCAAAACCTACAATTTCTATTCTACAAGTGCTTTCAGATATTTTTGTAAATATATAAGATAACATTTTAGATAGATAAAAGTTTGGAAGATACTAGTTTTTAGCCTCTTCTTTTCCAAGATAACCTTTAAAAAGATACCAACTAAATGAGAAGCAAAAACACCTTAGTAATTGCTTTATTTTTGTAATTAATTACGGTTAATCTAACGGTTAAAAGCGCCCAATTTACAAATATTAACAACCAAGAACTCAACTCGTTCAACGTCAAATAAGTTTTTTTTCAATAACGCGATAGTATATTTTAATGGAAGTTGAACTAAAGGCTAAATATCATAGATTTAATTTGTCTAGTCTAGTCTATTACTATTACTATTTTCATGTTACTACCAACCCTCTGTAATCTGTAACCGAGAAGGAGACACTGACATGACAATTAATTACTTTTTTAAGTATTAACTTGTAGTTAACCGAGTATTTAAATAAACTACATCCTTACGGTATTATGACTTATAATACCTGAAGTAAAGTTTAAATAATTAAACTTATACAAAAAGTAAAGAATTTAAAGGTATATCAAAAATAATCTAATATTGTAAACTACTTTCTATTAAAAAAATCAGTAGATTAGATAGTTATAATTATATCGCAATAATCAATATGATATTTCAAAGTATTAATACAACTATTCGCAAATTCATGTTAGAAGAACTTTAAAAGAAATCAAAATAGATCAAGTGGCCCAACTGGTATAAGCGGAGACACATTGGTAACATAAAAACATGCGTTCTGTATTGAAAATTTAACAACGTATTTCGTAAATTTACTAAGGTTCTGTTTGTTACAGGTCGACTAAAATAAATAATCCAAAATGCCTTTCAAGCCAGTAGAAAACCCAAAATGCCCCAAATGCCAAAAATCCGTCTATGCCGCCGAAGAACGTGTGGCTGGAGGATACAAATTCCACAAATCCTGTTTTAAATGCGGTAAGTTGGGAGAAAATATAATATTATTTCATTATGATGTATTATAAGTTCGTTATCTTTATTAAATTCTGATGAGATTTTCTAAAGTTCAAAATGTGTAAAAGAATGTTTTGTAGTTCTTTATAACCATTTACAAAACAAGTATGTCTTGTTCTCTACTACACTCATCGGCACGAAAAACGGACACTTTGAAATTTTGATGTATTTTAAAGTTTAATATATTTTGTTCTAGTGGGCCGATTTTAACAATTTTTTAACAATTATGTAGCTAAATTATTTGACTTTTATTAAACTTTTATTGAGTTTTTTTATTGATTTTATTTATACTTTTTTAATATATCTTTCTAAATTGAAATTGAAAGTTCTCAACTGTCAATTATACGAGGAAAAACAAAATGTTGATATTTTGGTGAAAGTTTGAAACACCCTGTGGAATATGTTAAGACATCATGGAATTTAAAATTAATTTTATCATATAGGTAGATCGATGGTTTCTCGATAGTTTGTTTCTTTGTTCATCTCAACAGCTTTATTTTTGTTGGATATATTCCCTTTTGGAGAAGACACTAATATTTTTTCGTAATTTTTACATTAAAACCATGCCTTTGCTTTTGGTCCTAGTCAACAGACATAGTAAGTTGTGGTCCCGAATCAGATGTTCTTGTCATAAGATTTGCTTCATTTAATCTTCTTTTTACACTTCGTTCACTTACATGTACGTTCCTTAGGTGCAATTTATTACACATTTGAAAAACTGGCCAACGGCGCCGGCGCGACGCGGCTGTTTCTTAGCGATAAACTTACAATAAATAAATAATTTGTCTTGATTTGAAGTTTTCATACGAAGGTTCCTAGACTAGCATATAAACTTGTCTCGAGGCAGCGACTGTACTATGCTTCGTGCACACCTAAATCCTATTAGCGACATAAAAAATAAACCTCTATCATTTTCAATTAAAGCAACTATAGCGGATTCTGGACATAAAATCATCTCTGCTATAGTAACTGCCCATCAGCCCACCGACTATAAAACGATTTTTCAATAACAGTGACATTTCATAAATCCTAAACACTATTTCATTGATCTGTTGACTGAGACCAATAGCAAAGGTATGGTTTTAATGTAAAAATTACAGAAAAATGTTAATATCTTCTTCAAAATCGAATATCTCCAAAAAATAAAGTATTGAGATGAACCAAAAAATAAACTATCGAGAAAAGATGCACTTAGAGGCACACATATTATGTTCCTTCCTACAATTGACATATGGAAAGTTTCATTTTTAATTTAGAAAGAGATACTAAAAAGTCATATAATTTAGCTACAAATTGCTTAAAAAATTATCAAAATCGGAAAAAATAGAACACAATATTTATATAAAACTTTAAAATGCATTGCACCTTGCTTTTTTAGCATATTCCACATATTATGTTCCTTCCTACAATTGACATATGGAAAGTTTCATTTTTAATTTAGAAAGAGATACTAAAAAGTCATATAATTTAGCTACAAATTGCTTAAAAAATTATCAAAATCGGAAAAAATAGAACACAATATTTATATAAAACTTTAAAATGCATCAATATTTTAAGGTGCTCGTTGTTCGTGCCGGTGAGTCTATATTAGAAGAAGAAAACAGTCAGATAATATGTACTTGTTAAAACATTTCCTGAACACAAACATTTATTTATTTCCTGATGAATTCAATAGACGACACCCGAAATAACAGAAGAAACAATATATTTATTCTTTTGTCAAAAAAATATAGTTATGTAGACACAATATCAATATAGTGACTTAAAGGGCAATAGTCCATGAAAAATTAATCCATGAAAAGTCAAGTCAAAATTATGTATTAATGATATTTTTAAAAAAGCCGTAAATTACAATATTTTTATAAAAGTTGCTGTTATAACTATTATTATATTATTTTAGGTATTTAAATAACACCTTCGAGACGTGTTTACTACATTTCCAAAAATATTTCGTCGTATCGAACATCTTTCCAATATTTGTGCAGGGAGTGTCGACACGATTTTAAAATTAAATAACTTTGAAGCTATTCGACGTTACATAAAACAGTTATCCAAAAATATAACAAGGTCGATGTGATTCATTTACTTTAAAATAGATTTTTAGGAAAATGTTAAAAATATCTTGATAAAACAAATTATTCACGCCTACGAACATACCGATCTCATAAAATATGCACCTGCTAAGTGAAATAACTAATTTTTATTTTAGATATTACTTAATTTTTGAAATTTTATGAATTATTCTTGTACTCGTTTAGAAATTGTTAAAAAATCGTCAAGGACAACCTGGATAAGACTTCCTACAACAATAATACGAATAATTTTACACAACATTACGTCTGAGCTGTAATATACGAGACTAAGACAGATCCTAAAAACTCTTTTTCAAAATTAGATTACTTAAATATATTTTTTAGTATCTTAAAGAAGTGTCCTAAGAGTTAGACTTGAATCTAAAACTAAACGACATTTAATAATTGATACTCTGGACTTAATAATTCTCTGATTATAATTCTATTAATACTGAGAATTTCAGGCATTATGGGAAATCAGATTAATATAATGTGTATTTTTAACTGTATTATTTTTGAAAAGATAATTCAATGGAATTCAAATAAAAATTTAAAAAATAATTTAAAATGTCGATAAAAGATGCAATAAACTAAATTTTAAATTATTTATAAATTTACTTCTATCAAACTAACCAACTGATGTTTTTTAACAACTTTGAGAATCATTATTCTTTATCTAATAAGCTATCACCCTTACTATGTCAACTTTGGAAAATCGTAACTTCATATTAATGGAATAAAAGATATGATCAAAAAAGCACTGCATATCAAAGTTTACCACAACAAAAAGTTGTAGGAAATAGCAGTGCTCCCGAAACTAAATAAATTATATTTTATATTATACAGGATGATAATTATTTAAGAAACATCAATCGGAAATATCTCTGAGACAAAAAAAAATCTATCAGAATCATCTCAAATACATGTTGAGGCTTCGAAAATGAATCCAAAATGATGACTCATCCCTTAGAGAGTAGCCAGCCTAATTTATTTTTAATACGAACCTATCTTGTTGGTACATCATTTACCTCTACATTATAATACTAGATCGACTAAAGTTAAATTAATCGAAATAGTTCTATATCGTCATCATTTATATTGGTCTAGAACGTCTTACGACGTTGTCCGATGCCTAACTTCCACGTCCTTCGATCGTTCCATTGCCCTTGTTCTCGTTAAACCCTCCTTCCAAGTCTTCTTGGGTCTTCCAAGTTTTTCTTCGATTTTGGGATATCCATTGCATAATTTGATTTGGAAATCGGGTGTCATCCATCCTCTGGACATATCCGCACGACACAAGTTGTTGGTGTTCGATGTCGGTTGCCAAGGATCCCTCTTTTTCTATCCTTTGTCGGATTTCTTCATTTCTGATTCTATCTCTTCAGGAAATTCGTAAGGCTCTTCTATAGGCGTCCGTTTCTACCACTTTCAGTTTTATTTAGTTGGCTTCCGTTATTCGCCAAGTCTCTGCACCATAGAGTAGACTGCTCTTTACCAGGATCTCGTATATTCAATAAATTCTTCCGTTTTTCCCTATTTCATTACTCCAAAATACTCCATTCAGACAGCCAATTGTTCTTCTAGCTTGTGACTTCTTCATTGCAGGCTTCTATTTCTTGGTTTTTTAGATGTACACTAGATAATTCTACACCAGTAGGAAGATATTTAATTTTCCGTGTATTTCGAAAAATCGAAATAGTTCTACTGAATATAAAACAAATACATATTTTAATGAATTAAGTGAGATGAGATGAAATATCATCCCCTATAGCATGAAATAATTATTCTTAAATTGATATAAGTATTTATACTTGATGATAATATTTATTAGAAATCTGGAAATATCGTCAAAGCTTCAAAATTAAATATCGCCTTCTAATGGGCCTAACTTACTTTTAACAGAAATTTGAGAAACAGAAAGAGGTGAGTTAATATTCTCAATTTGGGGTAGATTTGTAACAAGGGTTGTCGCTACTACCGTCGCATACTCACTGTAAACCGCCAGTTGTTATGATGGAGAACATCTTTCTTATAATAGCCTCATTTCATGATCTTCTAGAACCGTCTCTTTTTCTTGTTTCAGGGGGTAACAAAATGTAGGTTTTTATAGGGACATTTATGTTTCATGCGTAACAGATGTCCAAACAATTAAGGTTTTTCTCCTCGATTTTATCCACTATTGGGTTATGTACCCATTTTCATTCTGATTTCTTCTTTATCAATTTTGTCTAGTTTGCATAATATCGCACTACGTCTAATATAATCCATTTCGAGAGAATTCTATTCATCAGTATGTATATCACTAAATATTCCTCTAAAGCTGTTCCAATGAATGATTCTAAACCACATATAAGTGTAGTTTTAAAAAACTGGTCTTAAAAGAAATATTTTTATCTTAAATTATATATTATTAATATAAAATTAATCTCCTCTTAAATTAGGGTTGATTAACTAAGATATACAGGGTGAGTCAGGTTAAATAAGTGCAAATATTTTTAGAGGTAATATATTTCGACCCCAGAAATACTATTATGAGACTTCTTTGGCGAAATTTTTTTCTCGAAAATTTGGAATTAAAAAAGAGAATTGGAAATTTTTTAGTTAAAAAACTTAATTTCTTGATAATAATACAACATAGGTAGTAGATTAAATTTACAATAAAGAAAATCCGGAAAAGATGGTTCCCAAAATTTTATGTTAAATACTAAATACATATATTGCAAAATAAACTGAAGTATGGAATAATCGACCTAACTTTATTAAATAAATAATACTTTGTTGCAGGCTTGTGCGGAAAAATGTTAGACTCCACCAACGTAACTGAACACGAGGCTGAACTTTACTGCAAAAACTGCCACGCCCGCAAATACGGACCTAAAGGTTACGGATTCGGCGGTGGTGCCGGTTGTCTTAGCATGGACACTGGATCTCACCTCCAAGGGTAAGTGTCCACACACTCTGCTGACCTTTCGAAAACCAAAAACAACTAGAAGAACAGTACTGCAAACTATTGATAACTAAAAACTTTAATCCGAGAACCCTATTCTTAGATTTTAACAAAAATCGGCTATGTTTCTTTTTTAAAAGCCAATAATTTGAAGTACTTTACAAAAGACACATTACTCTAAAATCAATTACTAGTGAGACACAATACCCTTTACATATGCCTACTTTTATATTTTTTCTTGTAAATATTTATAAATAAGTATTCAATCATTTCAATTTTATTAATCAACTTAAAATGGAAAAAGTTCTCTCCATTTTCATTCCATCGACAGTTGTTTCGTGACTGTTACTGTTATTTTATGTATGTGTGTTTTGTACATGTATGTAGGTTTGGTTATCGGTAGAAGGCCAAATATGTTTTAATGAAATCTTTAATTGAGGGCTGTCCTTATCTTAGTCCAAATTATTTTTCTGCCTCAATACTGCAAGCTAACACTTCTGAAAGCTTTTGTCATACCAAAACTACTTTTACCCTGAGATGAGTTTTATTCTGATATAAAACCATTGTTATTGATCATTTAATTTACTTTTTAATTATGATCTAAAGATTACTAAAGTATCTTAACTGATTTATTCAATGAATTGTTTGGAGTAGTCGCTTGTAAAAACTAATCAGACGTGTTGAGCTTGCTTTTGTTAAGCCGATGCCAAAATTATTTGTTCAAAAGCATGATTTGCTTTTTTTGTATCACAGTAACTAATCGGATCGACCGAAGGATTGAGGCGACAACCAAAACACCATCAGAAAATGCGTCGTCAAAAACCTTTTTCATCCATCCACCGTTATTATTTATTTGTTTATGATACATTATACTATTTATATAGATTTATTATTTAGAATATTTTAATACTTATATTTCGTTTACATAAGATTTGATTATTCATTTGTAATAATTGGATTATAAAAAATAAATTTAAAATTTAAAACAAGATGCTGGTTGTGCTGTTTTTTCTGGCGCAATATCCAGTTAAACATTTTAAGTAAATTGTTTTTTGGTACCAGCAAATAATGTCACTAAATTCTACAAAAAAAAATTCTAAAATTTAACAAACCCTCTTAATACTGATTTGGTGCTAACAAACAAAATATAGTAGTATAAAATTAAGTTTAAACTGTGTTTAATGTCGTTAAAGTTTTTGTGTCTGTTCTTATGTCTCGAGAAATGTTTTGTGGATATTGTGGCCTGTATTTTTCCCATTCCTAAAGTTCCGATCCTACTGTTCTTGTTAAAAAAGTGTATTGCCCTGTATACGTTGCGAATATTATGGATGTTTGGTGTTCCAAAGCTAAAACGGTGAGACAATTTTATTTATATTTGGCTAGCAAACAGCAGCGCTATAATCTAACACCGCCTAGTGACTTCCTTCCCTAACCTAACTTGTGATGGGATAAGGGGGGTGCCCTCAATTTAGATTACACTTTCGTTATTGCACTCAATAATAACATCAAATAAAAGAATCGAGAGCAGTCATCCTTCTCTCATTACGAAATATTTTCTTTTATGTAAAACTATTTTCTTTTTATCTTAGATAACAGGCAACAGCTTATCGCTAGAATAAGATGGAGCTAACCTCTCTTGTTGCACTATCTGTGTTACTTTTGCACATATTTTTTTATAATATGTTATTTATTTTTGTTTTGTTTTAGATTCTTAAAGCAAGTCAAAAAAGAACCAACCATATTTTAACGACGTCTTTTTCGTCTACATTAATTTTTTTTAATAAACCGCTACCTTTCTTATAATCAGTAAAATTAAATAAAGCATAAAAGTTTATTTCCCCGACATTAATGTAATTATTTATTAAATTATCCCATAAAAACAGACAATTTGATGCAAATAACTGAATATGGTTGGTAATTTTTTAATTTCATCTGTTAAATTTGGGTTTTTCTGTATTAATTTTTGAAATGGGTTGTTTTATATAGAAAACCTTAAAAACTAACGTAAACTAGTAACTTATATTTCTTTTAAATTTTCAAAAATTAATACTACAGTTAGTAATTAAGTTTAGATATTTATGCAAACGTTGGAAAGACAAGAAAAACATGAGTAATATAATTTATAGGGATGACGTAGTAGTCAATAGAGCTCCTTTGCTACCCAAAGCTATCGCTAAAGCGCCTGAAGGTGAAGGATGTCCTAAATGCGGAGGATACGTTTATGCTGCTGAACAAATGCTTGCCAGAGGACGCGTAAGTATTTTAATAGAGTAGTTATACTACAAGGCGTGCCAAATACTCGCAACAAATGGGATTTTTAGTATTGAAAATACTTCTGGCCGCGTTTATATGGGACCCATCTTTGAAAAAACGACATGCTAGAAGCAACATGGGTTCAATAACCTGCCTGTCAACACGTACTTAAATTGATAGAGCTCGCGTTGATGAGCGAATAGGGCAAGGTCGAGTCTGGACCGGCGGATAAAGAACGCGATATTATTTTAAAAGAAAATATGTCAAGGTATGGGTTGTTAGGTACAGTTTGGCTATTTTAAACGAACTATGTCCGTATGACAAACAAGGGGCAAGTTATACGAGAAAGAGCAGAATCACATAAATAATAAATTTAGACTAATTACCATATTTTTTTATATGATTATTATTTTTTTAATTAACAACTTAGGACAAAGAAAAAGCTTGCATGGTTTCCACCGCCAGGCGTTAAAACAAATGAATCCAAGGCGTTGTCAAATATTTATTTGGATAAATTGATAAGTTTTTACCGTTTGAATATTGTTGTAAATAATAATTATTATCATTTAATTAGTGCTAACTTATCAAAATTCACAACACGGCGAAATTTCAACAAAATCGGCCAACGGATCTTTGAGATATTAATAAAAAAATGTCTATTAGGACCTGACACCCTGTATCTTTAAAATTACGCATTTCCGGACACATGTTTATATTAAATTTTTACCTTAAAAACACAAAGAATCGCCTTCTGAAGTTGGCCAGATACTTAATTAACAGCCTGTATTTAAAAATGGCTAGCTAGGGATTTTGTAAGTAAAGCTATGTTTATTTTAATAGAAAAAAAATACATTTCATAAAAAATAAACAAACCCAATTACTATACACTAATTAATTAATTTTAAATGTTTTATAAAACGTTAATAATTGAAAAATGGACATGAGCACTTCATAGAGTATACCAAATTTGTAAAAAAAATCCAATAAAAAAACCACAAATGGCACATCTGCATTAAAATCTGCATTATCTGAAATCAAACTATAGGTACCTAAACGGCCAATCAGCCAGATAACAGTCACAAGACGCCGATATCGATAACGCGATGAGCAGTTTTTAATAATTATTCCGAGTTAATACTTCAAGTAGCATTCCTTCAAATAAATTTTAATTTAAGTACTGTTAATACATATAGTCATATTAATGATTATAGCCTGTATGATTTCTGAAATAAAAAGTCCAGCGTGTTTTTATCAGAATAATTATTAAATGATTAACTAGAAATAGTTAATATTTATTAACTTCGTAAGTGTCATTTTTTAATATAATTATGGATTTAAAAATTAAATAATTATCTTAAGTTTAAATTGTGGTAAACTTGTTATGAGTTTCAATCATTTATATTTAAAATCTTAGGGAAGGCAATATAGATTTTAGGCAGAAGAACTCAAGGGAAGGACTGTGTAATTAGTAATTAAAACTTTACATTTTTTTTACTTGCCATTTTTCTTTGCACGTTCACTCTTCGTTGTGTCACACACAATCTGAATTTCGGATATGATGCAGAACTGATAAATTAGACCAAATATATTAATTGCAAGGTATGCAAAAAATATTTTTGTTAACTTTGCAAATACTTAAGGCATGCAATAATTTTAAAAAAATTTGACGTGAGATTACTTCATAATTCTTGAAAGTCTTGAAGATTCTTGGATGATAAAGATTTGAATTATTATGGGTATGTTTTGTTTAAGAAGCTAACAAATAATTTCAAAAACTCAACTATCAAAATATAATGGTAGAAAATGTTTAAAAGCATGTATAGGTATAATATTCCATATTAATTGAACATACTGAATGTAAACTCGGAAGACATAGTTGCTGCAGTCGATAATATATTTTGCTGCTTATTTTCCTCATAACAAAAAACCGTCAATACCGCTACTCACATTATGGGCACCTTTTTATACTTAAATCTCTTCATGATGTTTAAAAATACATATGTAGGTACATACTATAAGTAGTGGTTGTCACGGTTTTTTTATAATGGAAAATATTTTTTTTATTAGGTATGATGAAAAGCTGCAAACTAAATTATCGTTGGAGCCAACTATATTTTAATTTATTTTTATCTACAGTAACTATGCACGGTAAGGGTTCAAAATATGCCTATACTGTGAGGCAACTCAATTCGAGTATAAATTAACACTTACATTCCAAGTATCTTCTTGGTCTGGCACCCCGTTCATCCTTATTCCATCATTTCTATAAAAAATAGTATGATTTATAACTTTTAATTTTTATTGAGAAAATTGGTGAAATTTTGTTGTACGGCGAGTTTAAATTTATGGGCCCTCCATAAATTTACACCGTAAGTTCGAATATTAGTTAAACCTAGGAATATCCAAGTAATAGCCGGAAACATGCAAAAGAAGGGGTGAGTTTAGGTTAGAGTAGAATTAGGTTTTAGTTGGTTCTGAATTAATGAAAATATAGACCTAATCTATAAAAAATAGTATGATTTATAACTTTTAATTTTTATTGAGAAAATTGGTGAAATTTTGTTGTACGGCGAGTTAACCGAAAGTGACCCACTTTTTGGTATATTTCGGGCTCCTACGTGGGCAACTCTACGTTTAACCAATATTCGGGCTTTTACGGTAACATAATACTCATTCTGATTGGTTTAATCTGGCTCCATAACAAAACTATGGGTTCGAAGTGCTATTGCAAATTAATGCAATTAATTCTATGTATACACTTTCATAAAAGGCCATCACGATAAAAATTAAATATCAAAATTATTTAACGTTGCGAACTGTTCACTTGTTCACCATACGTATCTGGAATATATTTGCGAATGGCGATCAGCGATACGATGGTGCGTCTAAACCTGGGGAGACGAGCGCGAGACATTCCAAATTCGCTGTGTGGACGAGTCTCGCGAAAGCGTCGCGGGTCAACCCACGGAGCCTCGTTGCTATCCGTCCCCTGTCGGTTTTCCAACGGCCGATCAAAGAAAGCTCGAAAGTCTGGACGTGTTTTTGGTAGGCCCGTCCGACTGCGAGATATTAGCTCTGATTTATAAATTTCGACCATTTAAAATTAAGTAATCTCAAATTTTTAAATCGTACACCATATAGTATGTATTATCATTTTTTCTGATAGAATTTACAAATTTTATGTCACTGATAATTTTTACCCTACCGAAATCCAACATTTCTTTAAACAAATTGAATTATTACAACATCTATTAATTTTAGTAACATCAAAAAATGGCAAGAAAAGTTACCGAATTGTATGTATGTATAATCCAATAATAAAATAAAAAATAGGGTATTCCCATTAGAAAATATGTTATATCCGCAACACTGTTTTGAATTACCCTGTATACTCTATAGTAATGTTAAAATGTGCTTCTTAACCTTATCAATAACTTTTTTATTTAACAATTTGTTCCAAAAACGTTAAAAAACGTATTATGTAAAAAACGTCGTGTAAGGAATAAAAGGGAAAACAGCCAACAGGGGGACAACCGACGATGAATACCATGTTAAAGACCGAATATCATATTAAAGATACAAAAATTTATTACTGTATGCGTTATTATTTGACCATCGTTTGTTATATTCAATTGCAATTTAATGTGTTTGGCTTTGTTTCACTATGATCCCACTCGGCTTGTCTCGTGGCAGGTTGGCGTAAAAAATGGATAGAAAATGTCTCGCTTTCGTCTCGCTCTTGTCTTGCTTTCGTCTCGCGCTCGGCTCGTCAGGTCTGGACGCACCAGACTGCCGGAGTGGTGACGTCACGAATGTCAAATTGCTTTCCAAACAAGGTTTAGTTCTTTATATTTCTATTGAGCTCTTCCAAATGACGTCACAAAGTAATATAAAATGTAAAAAAAACAGGTGATTGCCGACAACCGCCGACTTGTATCTGGTATTTTCAATACGCCTCAGATGGTTGCGCATGTTGCAAAATCTGTGAATTTTTTAATATTGAGTTGAGTAATAAGAAAAAGTTTATACAGTATTATCACGCTTAATAAGGAATTAGATTTACTGCCATGGTGGAAAATTAAAAGCATACTTCGAGTTTTTCTTATTACCCGTTAGGTTACCATCTTATACCTCTACACCCCATGCGCAAACGAAAAAAAAAAAAATGGGTGGTCCGAACTGTATTTCGGAAATTTCGGCAGCATATTCTGCAGATAAAAATAAGAAAAAAAATCGTAAGTTAAATCTATGTCCTAAAATTCTTAGTTTCGGAGATACAGGGTTTAGGAGTTTCATTTTTATTTCGACTTTTTCCAAATAACTTCTGAAGTAACGTCAATATTTGGATGAAAATTGGTGTCTGGAATTTTTTTGACATGAGAAATTTGACTGCTACTTTTAAAGGGCGCCACCCACGTTTTTTTCCTGCTTTAAAGAGTAATAACTTTTCGTCCCTATTTGTGTAACACTACTGAGTAAAAAATATACATTTACGGCGTCTTTCACGTAAAAAAGGTATCTTAATAAAGATCGCTACGAGTAATGGTTTTCAAGATATTTGGAATCGAAATTAACAATACCTGTCATTATTGACATAAATTAAACATGTTGACTAACTAATGAGTAGACTGATATCATAAATTTGAAATGTTTTTGTCCCAACAGTTCAACAAAACCTGTTTTATCATCATTTTTTCGAAGAAAATTTATGATTAATTTCAAAAAATAAAAAGTTCCCATATTTTTCATTTCGATCAAATAACTATCTATTCAACATGTTTATTTTTTGTCAATAATGACATGTATTGACTATTTTCATTCTAAATATCTTGACAACGGTTGCTCTTAGCGATTTTTACCAAAAACACATTCTTTACGTAAAAAATCACGGAAATGTATATTTCTTCACTTAGTAGTTTTATACATGTACGGACGAAAAGTGATTACTCTTCAAAGCAGTTAAAACATGTAGGTGGCGACCCCTATAAATAGGAGTCTTATTGATATTAAAATCAAATTTTTCATGTCAAAAACTCCCAGACACCAATTTTCATCCAAATATTGACGTTACTTCAGAGATTATTTGGAAACAATCGAAATAATAATGAAACTTCTACACCCTGTATCTCCGAAACGAAGCATTTTAGGACATACATTTATAGAAACTTTTTAACTTATTTTTATCCACAGAATATGCTGCCAAAGTTTCCGGAATACACTTCGGTCCACCCTGTATAAAAGTGTAGATCTTTAAAAGTAGTTATTTATATATAAAAAGTTGTTATAGAATAATACCATATGGTCAGGATGATCTCAAAATATAAATAGAGAAAATTGTTCGTAAAATAGTAACACAAATTTGCCTCTTTTCAAAAAAAATAACTGTAGAGATTAGTTTTTAACTTTTACACGAAATGGGTTAGAATTAATATAAATAAAGTTGTGATAGGGCTAGCCCATAAGATGTGAAATTGGATGAGCCAAAAAACACTTCCATCTTGGTTCCATCTTGGTTCTGCTTTTTTTTAATATGTATTTAAAACCATCATTTTTCAAAAGTAATATTTGGAAACTTTTAGAGACACATCTTTAAATATTGAAAAAGAGGGTTTACCAAAATATTTAAATAGTTTAAGATGTATTCCACCTAACAAAAAATATTTTATGCGGAATTTATTGTCGAAAAATATATTTCATATAATTTGAGTATTTCTAAAATGTTCTATATGTTAATGATTCAGGGCTGGCACAAAATATGTTTTCGATGTGGTAACTGTGATAGATGGTTGGATTCTACGTCACATTGTGACGGACCTGATGGTTGTGTATATTGCAATGGTAAACTCCATCACTTTTTTAAACTAAGCATGTTTCGGTTATTATATAACATGCATTAATGTGACGTCATACTCTAATATCTGTCGAATTTAATTTATATCCAATTAATGTTCATAGTTAATTAGTAATTTGCTTTGCATTCAAAGCGACCCAGATTTTCTATGTCAGAAATTTACTCCAATCATCATGCGCTGTATTATAGCGCGTGATTGGAACGTATTTTTATATTCAAATTGTAGTTTTTTTAATGGAGTGCTTTATATTTTTTACCAAGTAGATTTTACAAAAATTTCCCTAATATAATAATTCCGCCTAGGAAACATGTACTTATCCTTAAATGTTTTAAAATGCAATTTATAGTGGGACTATCTTCCTATTGGTTTATAATTATCATAAATTTACAAGAAATAATACTGCACTAAGGTATATCAGTTTTTTATTTCAAATTTTATATTTTTTCTCTTTGACAACCAATTTACTGTTTGTAGTTTTCAGAGTAATGTTAAATAGTGTGTGTTGATCGTGAATATATAATGTTGAAAAAGTTTTTAAATTTAAGTTTTTTTAAATTTTATATAAATTGTGTTTCTCTTATTCAACACACACTGTTTATATCGTCTTATGTCGTACCGAGTGGCCAACTAAGAATGGACGCCGGCTATATCTCAGAAACTACTTATCGTATAACTTTAGAAAAAAAAATTCTAATTACTAAATCGACCGAGAGAAATCGCTGGAAATTATTTTCAAGTTCCAAAAATGTCCTCTAGGGGGGCGTTTCTCTGATAGCCTATCAGAAAAGAGGGTCTTTCCCAAAAATATGCAGGTGAACAGGTATTTTAAATATTACTATTGTAATCAACGATAAATTTGTAATTTTTTTGATGTAGAGTGTTTTGCTCTATCTCATAAAATAAAGTGATGGGGGAAGGTTAAACTTGCTTTTATTAAAATAAGAATAACTCTGGTTTGGGTTAGCCTATTTAAACAAACTAGGGCTCGTTTAAAAGAGCTTTTCTTCCTTAATGATCTCCAGTATAAATTTTCTTTCCATATTTTTTTTCGTGGTAACTAGAGGGCGCTGTTTGACATCATAACAGATATTGCGCTTTTGCATAAATAAATTAAATAAGAGACTATATTTCTCTCTGCACAGTTAAATAGAGCACATTTCCAAAATATCAGCGCAAACCGCAACTTTCTATCTTCTCCCAAACCGGAGATATTAAGATTAAGGGAACAAATCAGTTTAGGCTGCCGCTTAGGATTATAATAATATGGTCTAAAAATTATAGTAGTAGAGCTAGGAATTCTGTGGTAGTAGCTTAGGAAATAAATAGCGGTAAATTAGTTACGTCAAAATATCAAAACGTTTAAGTTCAGTTTTCATGCATCCGAATTTCGGGCGTTTTCTTAAACAAAATGACGTCATAAATTTTGAAACGTATTTATGTAGCATTATAGTCCATCTATATAATTTCTTGGTTAATTATACGTACGTTCTCATATTAAAATGTCGGAAAGTCGGACGATCAATGATATTATTAAAATTTTTAGGAATTTTGTGCAGCCATATTGCTTTTAGCAGAAACGGCCATATTTCGTATGGCCGAAAACTAGGAATTTATTTCATGTAACGTCATTTAGTTATTAATCCAAGTTCATCCATTTTACTTGTTTTTGTGTTTTACCTGATGTTTGTGTTATTTATTATTATATTATAAAGTTTATGTCGTTTGGGTCAGTTTTCATATAGCCCTGAAGATGCGAATATTAACAATATGCACTACTGGTCCAAATCTACCCTTGATGCAAGTAATTCAGCACCAAGACTGTTGGTCGGTACATGTTTAGGCAGGAATTCTAGGATGGCGAATGATTGGACTTGGCTTGGATTGGTGGGGCTTCTTGGATACCACTTACTTTAGTAGAAAGAGACGCTGGAGCGGCATATTTTCATGCTAGGTCATCGGATTCAATATCCCTGGGTTTTAATTTATGGGGTCGAATCAAGAACTACCTTGGATAAATAACAATTAAATGGTATTAAAATGTAATAAAAATATATGTTTTGATATTTTGACGTAAACAATTTACCCCTTTTTGTTTTCTAGCCTACTACTATAATTTTTAGACCATATAATCCTAAGCGGCAGCCTTACGCTGATATTTTGGAAATTTTGAGCTTTATTTAATGTACAAAGAGAAATATAATAATATAACCTCCTATTTAATTTTTTTATGTAAAAGCGCAATATCTGTTATGATGTCAAACAGCACCATCTAACTACCACGAAAAAAATGATAGAAACAATATTTATACTGATTCATGATGAGATCATTAAGGAAGAAAAGCTCTTTTAAACGAGCCCTAGTTTGTTTTAAATCGGCTGACCCAAACCAGAGTTATACTTATTTTAATAAAAGCAAGTTTAACCTTCCCCACCACTTATTTTATGAGATGGAGCAAAACAATCTATATGAAAAAAATTAGAAATGTTTCCATTATTACAACAGTAAGATTTAAAATAACTGTTCAATTGCAACATTTTTCGAACTTGAAAACGGTCGATTTACTTATTAGAATTTTTTTTCTTAAAGTTATACGATAAGTATTTTCTGAGATACAGCCGGCGTCCATTCTTAGTTGGCCACCCGGTACAGTTATTGGTATATTTTAAAACATAAGAATTTCAAATAAAACGTGCATTAAAGATAACTACAAATTATTATTAATCGTAATTTATATTTCAGTTATTAATTGCAAATTAAATTGTAAGTATCTTTTATTGTTCCACGATAATACTACAACTAGACTTTTAAAATATTCCAAATGAATAGCAGAAATTGAATTTTTTCTGAATTTTAGAAAATGTTTTTAAACCTTATTCATTCATAAGTATATAAATATTAATCATATTCTAAAAAACATACAAAAAATAAATATATATTATGGACAAACAAATTATGAAATTTTATATTTAGAAACTAAAAAATTATTTTTTTGTTGAATAACAGAAATTTAGTTTTCCCTAAATTTTAGAAAATGGTTTTAAACCTTATCCATTCATAAGTATATAAATATTAATGGTATTCTAAAAAGCATACAAAAACTAAATATAGGTATATCATGGACAAAGAAATTATGAAATTTTATATTTATAAACACAAACGCAAAAATGTTTTAAATACTTGAATTTAAGTGTACCGCTTCGGTAATTTACAATAACTATAAAACTCATATGTATATATGTTCCAATATAATTTAGCTTTCTTAACTTTTGGGGATCACTTGTTGCTCATCATAGTATCATTTAGAAATATCTATTATAAATAAGCTGCTGTCTTATGGCCAACTTTATTTGAAATCTGAAGTCTAAAGTTTATATCTAAACAAAAATCATTTCTTTTATTTTAATATAAGGATCAAAAACTACAAATTAATTCTTTATAGCGTAAAATATCTTAGAACATAAAACATACTAAATGTTCAGAACTATCTTAGAGAAGTTATTTTATAATATTAACTGGATATAAATATATATTTATGTTCTGTGTACATCCTTGTTGAGAATGGTTTGTTTTGATTCAAGGCTTTCCACAAATCTTGCTTCAAATGCGGCGACTGTAGCAAACGATTGGACTCAGTCAACGTTACCGAAGGCCCTGATAAGGATATCTATTGTAAAGGTGTGTTTCTAATCCAAAAACTATTTATTCTTCCCATAGCGGTCAAATTGAAAACGTAGCTATTAACACAGAAAATGAAGACAGTTTTAGTGAGCTGTTCACGGAGAAAATTTAAATCATTAATTATAAAGAAAGTTACATATAAATAAATAAAAACACTAGTTGAAGTTGAAAATGCCTCTAACAATTACAGCCTATTCATCAAACAGCCAGTCGACTTCGCTCGTCTTTGAGTATTGCGCTTTGCCTGTCGAGCCTGTAAACTAAAGGTCTATATAATAATTTCAATACGCATCCCAATCCAACGTCCTTATCATATGTTGATAGTTGAACGTGAGGTTATAAAAAGACCAAAAGAATGTGAAATCATCATCAATCAACAAGTACCACTGTTCTAAAATATTTGAAAGTGTTACCTGATACTATGGTTCTTAATATTCAGACTATTCTTATGAATAAAAAATGATAAAAATTTGCAGCTGTCTTTCTTGTATCTTTTATTGCTCTTCTGGTATTTACATAATATTTGTACTATAAAAATCTTAATTGTTTTAGTAAATTAAATTATTTCTATTAATTAATAAGTTGTAAAGATAGATCAAAATTTACGAAATGTTAAATTTTCAAAGTATTGTCCCTTGATATGGTATTATAATAAATTGAGATTGGCTGGCGAAAAAAGTTCTGTATGATTTCAAAAGTCAATTTAGACATTATATTGCAATTGGAATGGAATTATGGTGCATTGTAATTAGATTCAATTATAATGCAGTTTAATCAAATATTACTTTAACCAACGACTCAGAAAAAACTGCATAATTCACGTTTGATCAACACGCAAAGACTCAAATATATTACTGCTCTCTGTCATTGTATTAGGTCATGTTTAACGGAATTCATAAATGCAAATTTATTGCAATATGATAAAGGCAATTTATAAATATTTGTACTCCATTGAAGTAGGAACCAATAACAATGTCATGTAATTTATAAATTTACACCAGATATGGCTTGATTTCGCCCCAATCATACAAATTTTAATTACAATACAGTTAGGGAACATTTTACAATAAAATCAAATACATTACGATTTGATGGAGTTATTATTATTGTAAATTCAATCGCAATACCAGTACATGAAATTCAAATATATCTTTAGATATTGCGTAAAATTGCTAATTTTTTCAATTTTTACCGCTATGGGCTGCTACAATAAAAGTTTAGTTTTACTTATATAACTACTTTATCTCGTCATACAGTATGTTACGGAAAGAACTTTGGACCCAAAGGATACGGTTACGGTCAAGGTGGTGGCACCTTACAAAGTGACACCTTCTCTGTCAGGTAACTACAGTGTTCAATTTTTGTTTTGTGATTTTTTTAGCTAAATCTTCTGTAATCTATTCTTAGAAGACTTCTCAATCATCCAAAAACACTTTTATGAGTTTTATTTAGTAACAACATGTTTTGAAAATTGACAAATAAGACGACAATTAACCTAACGCTTAATACAACAACAAATTGTTAGTTTGAAGTGATATTGAGAAGGTTTCTTATATAAAATTAAATTAGATAGAGCAGCTACACAGCTAACTAAGCAACTTGTTTTATATGTAGCTTGCTATGCTCAACGCTTTGGTCCACGCGGCATTGGCCATGCGGGAGGAAATTTCCTAGGTCTTATGTCAGATGCTTTGGATCTTGAGTGGCAAAGGTATTTAATATTGCTGTTTTTAATTTTGTTTAGTAATAATAACTACTAAATGTTGTTTGTTGGCATTTATTATTTATCCTAACTGGAATTAGAGTAACATACATAATAAACAAAATGGAAGGCATATGTTCTTTTATATTATTTGATATTAAATATCCAACATATCTATATCATTACTGTAAGGCACTTTACTACATTACTAAAAAAAGTATTTAATTAATATAACCTAATAACAAATATTTATATGCTATTACTATTATAATGTAACTGAAGACTAGTAAAATTCAATACTGAAAATATTTTTAAACGAACGAGTTTGGTGGATTAACAAGATTATCTTTAGTATGAATATTCTATGTGTTTTTACATAATTGTATCACAGAAAAACCAAAAGATACAAAATGTATGTATCTATGTATATTATTATATCAAAGCAACAAATTTAAATATGAAACTTTCATTATTCAAGAAGGCATGATTGGTATCTGCATGTTTGTTTGGTAACTTAATATCTAAGTTACTCCCGAGTATTTCTAATTGAGTCTAAAAAATACAAAGTCCAAAAATATTGTTCAAAAAGTGTACTGGTTTAGAAACCAAAAATGCAAATTTATCTATCATACACAAGTTTACAGTAGACAAGACATTAGTCGAGATCAAAAAAACTGTAAACCAAACTAAACGGGAATGCCTTACACTTTTTTTAAACAAAACTCTTGTCGAAAAATGTCGAACTTCCATTGTCATAATTTACACAACTACGACGTTTCTTATAGTTGTATCAAGGTTGTATCACTCTCTGTTATCAAGTAGGTATATACTGTATGATCGAAAAAAAAACGTCAGCGATGGCTATGAAATGAAGGTCGCTGTCATTTTATATGTAAATTTATATGGGAAAAGTCATCGACACACAGCCTTACGCTTTTTTTAAACAAAACTGTTGTCGAAAAATGTCGAACTTCCATTGTCATAATTTACACAAATATAAGGTTTCTTATATAGTTGTATCACTCTCTGTTATCAAGTAGGTATATACCGTATGATCGAAAAACGGCGTCAGCGATGGCTATGAAATGCAGATCGATGTCATTTTATATGTAAATTTATATGGGAGATGTCATCGATCATCATTTCCTAGCCAACTGAACGCCGTTTTTTCTCGATCATACGGTACATCTAATAACGATAAAAATTAATAGCAAACCAAGACATAAGATTTTTCTACAGGTGTTCGACACATCGACCGTCTTCTGTTAAGGACAGAATTCATTAACTCAGTTCAGTGAAAGATCCTGGCATAACTGCTTTAAAGTACTTCTAATTCTTGTCTAGATTATACGGGCAATTTTAATTTTTTTTATTAAAATAAGAACATTTATTCTTCCGCAAAAATAAAAATCCACTAAGGATAACAGGCACTAAGTCCGGCGACCTCGACGGCCAACGGCTGGAATATTGGCTAGCTATTCAATTATTCTCCAAAATGACCGCAAAAATTTGCTGATGACTTCAGCGTCCTGAGACGGTGCCTCGTCTTGCTAGAAAAATATGTTTTCATAAGAGTTCCATTAAGGGCAGATCATCAATAAGGGGTCCAAAGCATTAGTTAAAAGTGGTGACCTTATTAACATTCTGTATTTCGAAGGGGACTATAACAAAATATCAAGTGTGCTATATTTTTGGAAAGGTAATTTTAAGTACTTTTCACTTAATTAAAAATATACAGTGTCCCAAATAAAAAATCAATTCTTCTGTTTATAACGCTTTTTTATTAAATTCAACGTAAAAACAGTGCTTTGAAAATGTTTTGACAAAAATACAAAGTACCATAGCAAGAAAGTTACAGCGATTTGTTAAAAATGCACATTTTAACACCCCGTAACTCATAAATGGTAACAGATATCGATGTGCAGGTTGTAACAGATATCGATGTGTTTGGTTGTATGTTTATGATAAAAATTGAGCTCTAGTGAACAATATTAGTTTTCGTCTAACTTCTATAGAAAAGGGTGTTTCCCTTTAAAAGCGTCGAATTTGACCCACCCTGAACTATAAACATGTTTTATTACCTGCAGGTTCATACAATGCGTTTTGTTATATGTGCCTACAATACAATATGAATTGAAATACTTTTTGAGTAATTCAGGATTTAAAATTATTATTTATTTTATTAGTAAATTATTTTTTTCTATTGTTTTCAGTTACTTAAAATTCAAAGAATTCTGTAATAGTAAATTTTGCCCTGGTTTGAAAAAGATTGCTTTTGTATTTATTATTTTTTTTTGCTGGTATTGGTAATCATAAAAACGGTAAATACCGGTAATTCCATGTTCAAATTCGGTAAATTTTCAAAAAAAGTCGGTAAATTTGCAATACCTAAGAAAATCATGCTATATATTTTGTGATTCTTCAAAACAACCAGTTTTAATCCGCCCAATCGAATCTTTTAGCGGTCAAGCTCCGAAAATCACCGTCATCGACACGGCCGTCATCAAGGCCGCTCCCGGTCAAGGCTGTCCTCGTTGCGGGGGCGTGGTCTTCGCCGCCGAAGAGGTATTGGCCAAGGGCCGCCAGTGGCATCGCAAGTGCTTCAAGTGCCACGACTGCACCAAGACGTTGGATTCCATCATCGCCTGCGACGGACCCGACAGAGACGTATACTGCAAAACCTGCTACGGCAAGAAATGGGGACCTCACGGTTACGGCTTCGCCTGCGGCAGTGGCTTTTTGCAGACCGATGGGCTAACGTAAGTATTATTAATGCCCAAAGACTTTTACCTCGGAATTCAATTACTGTGAATGTATTAATGTGAAACTTTCTGTATTGTGTTTTATAGATAAAATACTAAAATGTTTACCCATTTTTTTTCGTTGCTTTTAATTTTTTATTTTAGTAAATTCTTAGTTATTTCCTTCTTAATTTTTTTATTTTTTTTTTTCTAAGTAAATTAATTGAAATAAATCAATCTAATGCATAATCTATACCTATTCTGCTTCTAATCATTGAAATTTTGAATGAAATCGAATTATACAGGGTGGCGCGTCACATAAGACGCGGATTTTGCAAGGAAAACAAAAGTTTGTATTGAAGTGAAATTTTGTGAGCTTATGTAAGTCAATTTAAAGAATTTTCTAAAATTATAGTTCTACAGGGTGTCCCCAAAAAAAGTTACACATCAAAGTTGTGTTTTTTGTAATGAACACCTTATATACTAATCGATTTTCAGATTCTAGTAAAAAAATAAAAGCGAGTTTCATAAGAAAAGTATATGACTAAATTGTAGAGTTTTTACATATACAGTATATGTTTATACATTCATCGGCACGAAAAATGGGCACCTTAAAACTTCGATGTATTTTAAAGTTTAATATATTTTGTTCTAGTGGGTCGATTTTGATAATTTTTAAGCAGTATGTAGCCAAATTATTTGACTTTTTAGTATGTCTTTCTAAATTAAAAATGAAACTTCCCATCTGTTAATTATAAGAGGTACAACAAAATGTTGATATTTTGGTAAAAGTTTGAAACACCCTGTGGAATATGTTAAAACAGCAAGAAATCTAAAAAGCGTTTTATCATATAAATACATCTTTTCTCGATAGTTTGTTTTTTGGTTTCTCTTATTAGCTTTATTTTTGTTGGAGATGTTCGCTTTTGAAGAAGACACTAACATTATTTCATAATTTTTACATTAAGACCATGGTCCTAGTCAACAGATCCAGTAAGTTCTTGTCCCGAAGCAGGGTTTCTTGTCATATGATTTGCTTCATTTAGTCTTCTTCTTATAGTCCGTTAGTTAATATGTACGTTCCAGGCTTGCGAACGGCGGTATCTTAGCGATAAAGTTACAATAAGTCGATCGTCTCAATTAGAAGTTCTCATACGAAGGTTCCTGAACGTCTAGATTGGCGTCCTCATGGACGTGGTTATAATTCAAAACCACTCAGTATATTCTATGGTATTAAGGTATTTTTGGAACCGGAATTTTATAGCTAATTCACTAAACTAAACAAATATAAAGCATTTCATTTGAAAAACTAAAACTTAAGTGTAAAAATACTTGACTCACCCTGTATATCTATAAAAATATTTTTGAAACGTGAAGTACCATTAAACACATATTTTGTAAAAGGTTTGGAGTGCAAATCTCAAATAGGAATCCTACTACAGAATTTTTTTTGGAACACCGAGCCATCTTGTATGTATGCATTTGTATATGTGTGTTTATTTACTAAAGTGAAAGCAACGAATTTAAATGGGTAAACTTTGTAATATATCTTATAAACAATATAACGCAAAAAGTTTTATAAAAATTCGTTCACACTAAATGAATTCCGAGATCCCATAAGGGCTTAAAGCATCACGAAACGACAATACACGAGTACAGGTACCGGGTATCCCATATTCGACAGTGTTTCTGGTTTATGAGTAGAGGTTCAAAGATGCGGTTTTCACATTAAGGCTTGCTTTCTTTAACATTCCGTTGCGGAGAGCGGACAGTCCGTCGACCATTGATTTGACGTAGTATTTGAACGACAACATATAGGTACTTAATACAAACAACAGACATTCCACATAAAACTATTCTAAGGGCTAAAATCATTAATTTTTAAAACTCCAACTTTTCAAACGTCACCAAGTCGAATTATAATATTTTCCATTTAAAATCGTTAAAAGAAAAAGTTAAGATCAAAAATTTGATCATTACAAAAACAGATAAAGTCTCTTGTTTGCTCATTATGAAAAGAGCAGATTATGTTGATAAGGTGATGAGCTTCCTTGCTTCCTGGGCTCGAACGATTTCGTTAAATTAAACAGATTATGCGTTTTAATAAAGAAAATTATTGATCAGACGTTAACAACTTTAGAATATTTTCATACCGGGAAAGAAAGAATGTATCCCATGAATCCAAGAACACCTTGCTTTACGGTTTGCCCAAAATTCATAAGGAGGGAAATCTGATTCCAGTGGTTTGATTTGTGGAGTCGCCATTTTACAGAACAATCATTTTGGCTTAATATAATTCTCAGAGACGTAAGAGGATTTCATAGAACTTATTCCACGAAAAACTCTGTATATTTCGCCAACTACCTAAAAAATATTGAAATTCCACACGGTACGATTTTGGTTTCACTGGATATTAAAAATGTATTTCCTAGTACCTATACCGCCAGATGAATGCATTGTCCTCATTAGAGGTTTGATGACACGCATTTCCCTTCCAAGGTTGGTTTGCGATATCCTCATTTCACTCCTTTCAATTGTTCTAAGTCAAAACTTTTTTAAATTTACCAACGAGTTTTTCAGCCAAAAAAAAACAGGCTTAGCAACCTTTTTTTTAGAAAACAATTTTTTTTTCTTTTCAAAAACAGAATTTTCACATGAACAGATTGGAAAAACAGATAAAGAAAAGTTATTTTGTACAATATTTAACAGCTTATAGAAGATACATGGATGATATTTGCATCATGTGGAATGACAATGAACAGCAGTTGATAGATTTCCTTTCCTATGTCAACATCGAGTACATAATAGAATTTCGTTCACTTTAGAAAAGGGAAAATGCAGGCAAATTACCGTTTTTGGATTTATTACTTATGAGAAAAAATAATAAAATAGGGTTTCAAATTTTTAGAAAACCTTCCTCCTCTGATAACGTAATTCAGCATAATTCTAACTCCCCCTATTCTCATAGATTCGCAGTTTTCAATTCGTTCTTTTATAGATTATGCAACTTGCCACTGTCAAAAGACGCATTTAATAAAGAGCTCGACATTATTAGACAAATTGTTTTTAACAACGGGTTTCCTTTAAGCAATATTAACAAAATTTACTATAACTTCGTAAATAGGTATAAAATGTCTTATAATGTCATACATTCTCAAAATTTGCAGAAAAGCTCGTATGTATAAAATTGTAACATTTTTTGGTAATATTTCCCTACGATTAGCATTTTTTTTTTAATTTTAACTTAACAATATCCGTCAAAACTATTACACATAACGAAGATACTATCTGAATCTGGAGTTTATTCTTTGAATTGTGGCGACTGTCAAGTGGTTTATGGTAGTCAGATAAGAAGATTTCCTCCCGGGTACAGGAACATCTGAGCATTGTCAATAAATATAAAAATTCTGATATAACTACCGTCTGCTTTTGCAAATCACTTATTGACCACGGGTTACGAGTTTTCCATCTCAGAAAATGTTACTTTTCCGCACGAGTGAACAAAAAGTAAAAAAACCTGATCTCTCAGAGAAAATGGAAATAATTATAGCTAAAAAAGTCCTATCCTTATGTATGTAAATAACGTTTTTAATGTTGAACCTACTTTAATTTTTAATAATCTGAAAGATTAATTCTGCCGGGTATGGTTAACTTCGAAATTATTATTTCAACAATGCGATGGCGGCTGTGTGGTTGGAGTCTCTAATTCCTATCAAGGAGCCCCGGGTTCAAATCTCTCGAGGTTTGCTTTGGTTTTTAATTTTCTATTTAGAATTTTATTTTTTATAACCAAACCAAAACATAAGTGTGGGTCATATTTCAAGAATGACAGTTCGCAGCAAATCTAGTACCACTGAGTTGTACCTGAAAACTCTATGGGACTCAGTTTTCACCTTTTCTAGATTAAAACCAATTCTCATTTTCTCATCTGAAAAGAAAAAGGAAATAGTTTAGGGAAAAAGTAAAAAAAAATAAAAATAAATTTTTAAAAATACCCGAAACACAAATATCAGGTCGCTTCCGCGCTTACGCAATAGACGGGGGTGACTATTATTTCCACTTAGTAACTGTGTCTTATTGAGTAAAATATAATGAATGTTTCTCAACAGTGAGGACCAGATCTCTGCTAATCGCCCATTCTACAATCCCGACACTACATCCATTAAAGCTCCACCTGGTCAAGGATGCCCCCGTTGTGGTGGTATGGTGTTTGCTGCTGAACAACAATTGGCTAAGGGAACGGTACGTATCACGTATTAAAACAGAAATAATGTCTATACCAGTGATAGCGAACCTTATGAGCTCGGTGAGCTAAAACTTTGAAGAATTGGAACAATCGTAAAATTGGAATGATTTTCCTGGCGTGTCACACATCACAAAAGTTAATTATTTGTTCAATGCCAGTTAAAATACAAAACCAAAATTATAAAACCTATGATTTATACATTTAGAAATTGATATAGAGATTTATTTATTTATAGAGAATATAGTTTTACCTGTCCAGTTCAATGTTTTAAAATAATAAATTTGAAAATTAACATTTTAAAAAAACCAAAATAATCACATTAATAAAATAAATACGGTAATCGTAAAACATTTTCCGAAGCACGTCATCGATCATATCGAAATTGACACTCAGGCATATAAACCTGACTAAATAAAATTTTGGCAAAAATGTTTAATTTTGTTGTATAATTTAAGATACCGAGCAGCTCTTTATTTTACTTTATAGAGCAAGTGATGGTAACACATATTTTATTTGGATTAAAACTGCAAAAATTAGTTTAAACCGAGTTTTATTATAGCTATGCGTGTTCAACAACGTTGGCGTTTATTATTTGACAATTATCATAATGTCAGTCATTATTTTGTAATATCGTGTTGTTGAATTTTTGTGAGTAATTCTCGTTTTTTGCCTATTTCCATAGCCTTTTTTTTAAATTTGTACTTTTAAGCACAAACAATTCTTTTAAGAATTAAAGTTTCGAGTTTGTCTATTGCATTTCTTGAAATTGTGTGTTGAAAATATGCCGAAGCATGTAAACAGCCGAAGCAAACAGCTTATAGGGTCCCTGATAAACTATTTTGAACGAGAGCGTGGGTAATAAAGGTCCTTTATTACCCATAAGTCAGAGAAGTAAGTTTGATCGGTAAGCACATTATACCACTTTCAAAGATATTTCTACGTTAATTATTAGTAACTAAATTAGTAAGTTCTGTAATTATTAGTTTGTGCATTAGTGACACCCTCTTACTAGTTATTACCACTTGTGGTGTAAAATGTACATCAATAAATAAATAACCCATAATAACTCTTTTGAATAATCTTCATAATGAACTAGTTTTTGCCAATATGTAAATAATCAGTAAAATAAGCTATAAAACAAATAAATTAATTACTAACATATTAATTAGTAATTAATAATAAAGCGTAAAAATAATTAAAAAAGATATAATAAATATATATTGTTTCCCAATTTTACATTAAGATTCATCCCATAAATCCATCACAACCTAGCAGCGCTAGTTAGCCTAAATTGATCACGTGCATCGGAAATTGTTTTGCGATTACGTCATATATTCTTTGTACTAATAATTTTAAAATTTCCTCTCCAGATGTGGCACAAGAAATGCTTCAACTGTGCCGAATGCCATCGTCCCCTAGATTCGACCCTGGCCTGCGACGGTCCCGACCGCGAGATCCATTGCCGCGCCTGCTATGCCAAATTGTTCGGCCCTAAGGGCTTCGGCTTCGGACACACCCCCACCTTGGTCTCAACCGACGGTGCCGCCCCCGTGATCCACGACCCCCGCCCCAACAGCGGCCCCCGCGGCGTCGCCGGCCAAGGCTGCAGGAGGTGCGGTTTCGCCGTCTTCGCCGCCGAACAAATGATCAGCAAGAACGGACTTTGGCACAAGAGGTGAGACTTTTTTTTATATTAAGGGGCCTTCCTGTACAGGAAACACTGCGACTTTTAAGGCCTATTGTGTTTGTCCGCTTTCTTTCAAAGATTGGTAGATCCGGTATTCTAAAAGAGTCGGTCCGGAGTTACATCAAGCTTCATGGACCTATCTCTAAATTCCAGTTCTGCCGAATCTACAGGGTGGTCCGAATTGGATTCCGGAAACTTCGGCCGCATATTCTGCAGATAAAAATAAATAAAAAAGTTCGTATAAATGTATGTTCTAAAATGCTTAGTTTCGGAGAATGTAGAATGTAGAATGAGTAAGAGGGGGTGGGGTTAATCATGCCACGCCCTTTCTAATTTGAAGTTCAATAAAACACAAAGTTTACTTAATCTGAATGAGTTGCATAGAGGCCACTAGCTTTTTAATTTTAACAGCCGGGTGGTCGGGGTTCAAAGTTATTAATAAAAGGGCGCCACGAGATTATACTCTATGAACTCGGCATAAAAGGTGTTACTATTAAGTAACTTCAACACTAACCTCAAACTGTTGAGTGCAACTACCATGAACTTCAAATCTTACTATAATTATTTGAACTTAAGTGACTCTAACTTAACTATGAGACTAGACTGCAAATAATACTACTAAAGATGTTTAAGCAATTTATTAAATATCAAAAGATAATATTTAAAGAAATGGAAATGAATAAACGTTGAAAAGTAGCATAAATTTAAATCAAGAAAACTAACTAAAAGTATGACGTCATAATCCCCCTTACTTAAACTAAGTGCAATATCCTGGGTGGATTACAAATATCAAATCTAAAATTATACTAATCTAAACAGTCTTACTCTAAATAATAGAAGATATGTCTTACTCTATATAAACTTGAAACAACTCGGAAGTTCCTCTGGCTGAGCTACGGTGTATAGCTATAGGGTGGCTACGGCGGTGCACAGCAGCTCGGTGTACTGTCACTGGAGCCCACGGATGTCAGCAGACGTACGGATGCCGGCCAGGTGTAGGACTTCAAAAGGTGAACATAAAAAACCCTAAATAACATTGGTTGTCTTAGAAAAGAGCCTCAATTATAGAACAAGGACTAGCACAACGTGTAGGAGTTAATAAAGGTAATAAAGAAGGACTAATCAAATCTGAACTTTACCTCAACGAGGGTTTATGATGTCCAACGGGTAACTCTACACACGGGCAACAGGAACGGATGGAATTCTGGACTGTTCTGTGCTGTACGGTCTGGATCGGTCTTCTTGCTCTACAATTACGAACAACCAAATAAGACTTAAGAAAGATAACACTCAACTAATCTTTCTACACCACGTGGGCGTGGAAAAGTCGAAAACCAGACAACAATATGAACAAAAATCAGAAGACTTATAGCTTGGAACTATTCGGGGACTTCTTGGGCACGTGGAATCGGAATATCGGTCAGAAAAAGGCTATTTTAATCCCATTATGGAAACTGGTCGGTGGTCCATGTAAATCCCACAAAATACAACCACGTCTCTGACCAAATGTGTTCCTTAAGACTTAATCCTTCACTAGGAAGACCTGCTAATCACCAACAGGGAATGCTTCACGGAACGGCAGCCAGTTCTTCACGACGACACTCTTCAGCCGGGGAGTACACAAGAAGTGATGCAAGGATTCGATTTCCTTCACAAAATCAGATTTCAGCCGGAAATCTCCCTCCAGGATATAGATAGAGAACTATATATCTTGACTAGTCCAACTCACAAAAAGGCATAAATAAAAAATGATGTTTTCTCCTCAGCCATATTCCATATCCGGTCAATGAACGAACTAAACTCAGAAATTTCACAATTAAAAGAACGAATTGCACACTGCGATCCACATCAAAAATAACTAATTTAACTACGAAATTTTATCTGATAATTATAAAATTTCAATAACCAAAACAAAGGATAAATAAATCCAAAAACATCTGATTTGATCTGACAGTGACAAGTGACGGAGGTGATGATCAAAGATATAGAGAGATGGACAAAAAGCCTACTGCTGGTCGGCATCAGTGACAATAATGTGCATGTGCAGCGCGGTGTATATCGGGTTGCATAATTGTAAAATTTAAATAAAATAATATTTAACAATAAAATTATAGTAAACATGATGCAAAAATAATAGCTATTTGCGATATTGTATGAGCTAGCACACAGAGGTCGTTGCGAGGAAATTTGACTGTTACAATCATCGCGACTGCGAAGATCAATTGTGCCCCCCTTCCTTGAGTCTTCACACAGTCTATAACCCATCATACCCCTGTTGTAGAGGGGACAGGGTATTTCCCATCCTCCTCTGACAACAGTTCTTCCTCCGAGAGTACACACCCTTCCACGGTTGGAGTTTGGCCCTCCGTGCCGCTCTTCACAGTCGTGGAGATTGCCTCCGGCTGAGGAATCCGTGAGGTGGAGGCTGGAGGATCTGTCTCAATGTTCTACACCTCTTTAACTTGGTATCTGTAATAGAGGATATGTCCCTCTTTCTCTATTGCCTCCTTGGATTTGAGGTCAATTCCTATTTTGAGGACCTGACCAGGACCCTCCTCCCTCGAGTTGATGACTCGTCAACTCGATGTCCTTACATTGAAGTTCTGACCCTGGATAAGGCTCAGCAGGTAGGTGGTGTCTTTCTCCTTGCTCCTAGGCAGAAAGACCGTGATGGCCGTAATGGAGATACAGGGTGTAGAAGTTGCATATTTATTTCGATTTTGTCCAAATAATTTCTGAAGTAACATACCTACATATTTTTAACTGGTTTGAAGATTTCGTTTGTACCTGCATAAAACTAGTGATTAAAAAATATACATTTACAACATTTTTTCCGTAAAAAAGGTCTCTTGATATAAATAGCTACGAATGGTTCGAATGGAACCAAACCAAACCAAACTAATGGTTCTCGAGATATTTGGAATCGAAATTATCAATAGCTGTGGTCATTGACATAAACTAAACAATTTGACTAAATAGTTATTAGACTGAAATCATAAATTTGAAATGTTTTTGTACTAAAACTTCAAGAGAAACTTTTTTATATAATTTTTTCGAAGAAAAATTTATGATTAATTTAAAAAATAAAAAGTACCCAAATTTATCGTTTCTTACTTACTATCTTACTTAAATTATTTATTTTTAGTCAATAATGACATGTATTGACTATTTCCATCGTGAATATCTTAAGAACGGTTGGTTAGTTAAGAATCGCTCGTAGCGATTTTTACTAAGAGAATTTTTTACGTAAAAAATCACGGAAATGAATATTTTTTCACTCAGTAGTTTTATACAGGTATTGACAAAAATTTATTACTTTTCAAAATAATTAAAACACATGTAGGTGGCACCCCCTACAAATAGGAGTCATATTGACATCAAAATCAAATTCCTCATGTCAAAAAACTCTCAGGCACCAATTTTCATCCAAATATTGACATTTCTTCAGAAATTATTTGGAAAAAAATTAAATAAAAATCAAATTTCTACACCCTGTATGTTCGAAACTAAGCATTTTTGGATATACATTTATACGATTTTTTTTTCTTATTTTAATACGCAGAATATGCTGCCAAAGTTTCCGGAATACAGTTCGGACCACCCTGTATATGATCAATGAGAAAGTTTTAGTCACAACTACGTATATTTTATTATACAGGGTGAGTTTTAAATAAGTGCAAATATTTTTCGGGCTGATATGTCTTGATAAAAAGTACCCAAATTTATCGTTTCTTACTTACTATCTTTAGAATTTAGAATAAGTGGGAGGGGGGTTAATCTCTAGGACCTTAGAGATCTATTGTCTCCCCTTTCTTGAGTTATAACTCATCACACAGTCCCAGGACTTCCTACGGAGACCCGTGTCCCTCACAGTCGAGGAGCTACGACCCAGGCCGGGTAGACCAAACGGTAGCTTGTGTCGCCTGTTGGGTTTAGAGGTAGGAGGTAGGCTCTCGACCCTTGGAGGAGGTGGTAGCTTGTAAGCCACTTGGGGAGGATTGTCTCACGCAAGTGTCAGCCACCTCTCCTATAGTTCTCTTTGGGTTTGGCCCCTTGGAACTTTCATTGTTACTGTTCCCAGTGTCGCTAGGGGATTTCCCCACAGCTTCACCGGTGATGTTTTTATTACTATTATTACCAGATCTCATTGTGTTCCTATGAGTCGCTAGGGACAGTCGGTCCACTTCTACAGAGCCCCGCATGTAGAAGTAAGGGGTAAAATACAATGGGGTGCCCCCCGGTGCCCCAAGGTTGAGGCTGTCCGTAGCCCCGCTCGGTATCGTTATATGTCTTGGTGCAATTCCCTGGCCACGACACTACAGTTAAGGACAAGACGATGAGTGAGATGCTTCTTAGACCAGGCCAAGTGCTAGAGGGGATTCCCCCCAGCACCTGACCAGGAGCTTCCCCACCAACGACAAGGTCTTGCATCTCCTAGGGGAAGTACTTACTATCTTACTTAAATTATTTATTTTTAGTCAATAATGACATGTATTGACTATTTCCATCGTGAATATCTTAAGAACGGTTGGTTAGTTAAGAATCGCTCGTAGCGATTTTTACCAAGAGAATTTTTTACGTAAAAAATCACGGAAATGAATATTTTTTCACTCAGTAGTTTTATACAGGTATTAACAAAAAGTTATTACTTTTCAAAATAATTAAAACACATGTAGGTGGCACCCCCTACAAATAGGAGTCATATTGACATCAAAATCAAATTCCTCATGTCAAAAAACTCTCAGGCACCAATTTTCATCCAAATATTGACATTTCTTCAGAAATTATTTGGAAAAAAATTAAATAAAAATAAAATTTCTACACCCTGTATGTTCGAAACTAAGCATTTTTGGATATACATTTATACGAACTTTTTTCTTTATTTTTATCAGCAGAATATGCTGCCAAAGTTTGCGGAATACAGTTCGGACCACCCTGCATATCATTTTATCCTAATTCTATTTGAACTAAATTTTGTTTTGCATAAAGCAATCCGTGTTCAAAAGTTGTGTAGTCCGTTAGGGAAATCTGAAGTTTGCGTTTTGCTAAATCCTTATTACCTGATCTTCCATTTGTTTGGTACCGTACATTAAGGTGGTTACATGACTATATATTTGAACCATATCATTATCAAATCATTACGAACTTTACATTCTAGTAAGAGATAGTCGAAACACAATTACATTCTTTCATCTAAACTTCCGCATAGAGAGTGCTAAAGTTCCCTCTTTATTCCAATATCCTTCAAGACTGATTTATTTCGCGGCATTGTTATGTTTTTGTTATCTGCAGACGACACGACGCGCGACGTGGTCGGTTGGCCGTCAGCAATGCAGGTCCGCGGATAGGGGTCGATAATCAGTAGGATCTACAACCATCAGTACAGGCATCGGAGGGAGGTCCGTGGATTCGTATCTATCCGAACCTACACATGTCTACATACTATGTCTGCGCCCACTCTCTTATTCCTGTAGCAACTTATGCAGGTCATTGATATGATGGGAGCATAGTTTCTCCGGTTCTTTGATACAGGTTGAGCTTGTTCAGATAGAGTTGAGATTTATGTATAATATATAGAAATATATATAACTGAGATTTATGTATCCCTGACCCCTGACAGTGACAGCTCGGCTGTCAAAATCATCCCTGGTTGGACAGATTATATACACTAGAAAGACCTATATTGTCAAACAAATTGCATAACACAAGTTATCACTCAATAATTAAATGTGTGACAGTGTTCAATTGAAAAAATTATCATAGGATTTAAAAATTATTTTAAATCTGTTATCGGATTAGTTTTTTTGAGGTGACCATCGGCCTGTTCCACTTCGACCGTTTCAGATCTGTTGTGGTACTCTTCTGATCTCTAGATTACATTATCCAGTTCGAAACTTTCAAGAAAACAGCAATTCCAAGAACTTGGAGACTGAAACCTCTTTGTAAATGGCTTATCATTGTCTAATACAAAGATCCTGGTACAGGTCCGCACTGACAAATTGACAAAATCTGCATGCAGTTTTGCCCGTCAATCCTAGCAGAAGGGGAATTAGAGTTATGCATATAATTGGACTGGTAAACATTCTAAAACTTTTGGAAAAGAAATGTGGAAATATGGAAATGTGCAATGCCATCAAAGGAATGATGAATAGTACTCATAATAAACATATTAAGTCTCAATTAGTAGATAAAAAAAAATAACTTACAAAAAACAGAAAGTTATCTTTGATTTCCTAAATGTTACGACAAATTCTAAATAAAGCAAATTAAAATGAATGAGATGGATAAACAACATTTTTTCTATTGGCGTATATAATGAATAATATATCCAACTAGATATCGATTTTCAAAAAAAAATCCAAAAAAAAACATTTTTAAAATAAAGGAGTTAATACATGTGCACACTTAATTCTTCAGATTGTCTATTCTTCTTCTATTCTTCTTCTCTCCTTCTTCGTCGTCTCTTCATGTTTGAAGAATCGTGACATTATGGCTATGTGCAGCTGGTGATTTTGATCTTCCATCGTTGGCGATCTTCCGCTTCTCGGAGATTTCATTGAAATGGATGACCTGTAATATTTGCTATTTGGTCAAGCCATCTTGATGGTGATCGTCCTCTGGGTCTTTGGCCTTCTACTTTGCCTCATACTATGAGTTTTTCAAGGTTGTCTTCACCTCTGCGAGTGATATGACCGAAGTATTGGAGGATGCGTCTACGGCAAATGGTGGATAATCGATCTGTGATGCCGAGTTCATTGAGAATTGACTGGTTTGTTCTTCGAGCTGTCCATGCGATACGGAGCATTCTCCTCCAGCACCACATCTCAAATGCATCTATGCGGTGTCTATCAGCGCTCTTGATAGTCCATGACTCAGACCCGTATAGGAATATGGAGAACACCAAAGATCGAACAAGGGTCTTTTTGGTGTTTAGTTATGTTCCTATCTGTCCATATTTTTCTTAGGCTCATCATAGCCGTCCGTGCCATTGCTATACGCCTTCTTATCTCTGCTTCAGATTGTACTTTATCTGAAACCTATCCACCAATTAAATTATCATATATCATACTTTAAATATATTTTAACATATTTTAACCAAGATCAGGGTTAATTTGTCTGCGATAATAAAATGTCTTAGATAATATAAATTTTTATTTATATTGATCCTTATCAAAAATGTGTAACAAATTCTATTAAAAATTAATTATTTTAGGTGCTTCAGCTGTGCCGACTGCGGCCGTTCCTTGGACTCCACCAACCAAAACGATGCCCCCAATGGCGAGATTTACTGCAGAGGCTGCTACGGTCGCAATTTTGGTCCTAAGGGTGTAGGATTCGGAATGGGTGCTGGAACACTTACGATGGCTTAAACCAAACATTTATTCAAATATTACTTTCTTAATCAATAATCAAATTTATCCATCTGATATAGAATTTAGAAAAAAAGTCTGAGAGTAAAACGTATTATTTCGACAGGCCTGGACAGAACATCACTTTTTGTAACATCTTCACTTTTATTCTCAGAACGTATTATTCACTTGTGAAAGAAACATTGATTAAGACTGTTGTAACATAATTATTCTAGATATAAACAAGGATATCCCTGCTTATTAAAAATGTTGAAAAGAGAAATTGCGCAAACTTGAAGTAACTACTACTCTTTTACTAGTGTTAACATGTAAACTTTAGCTTAGGGCATATTTTTTGAAAGGTATTTTTTTAAAATGATTTTTTTATAATATATACAATTCCACAACTTGACGACGAGACTCAGAGGGAACATAAGACTCAGAAAAACTGGTTTCCGGACGCCAGTACACCATTTTGGATGAATTTCCTTCGAACGACACAGGTCGACCTGAGACATTAAAAACTTTTTGTATATATCTACACCGGCCATTTTTATGGTCTATCGAACGGATGCTTAGCGCTTTGCAAAACTTGTAACGTTTATCGCTCTCAATTATACGATATTTTTGTTTAGATGTTATACTCAATTGTCTATACAATAAACACATTCTAAAATACTCATAGTTTTATTTATATTTTCCCAATCCTAAACTCGATTCTAAGACTCATTTTGGAACAAGAAATTAAATATCTCAATAAAGAATTCAGTATTAATATATAAAACAAGAAGGCCAATGTAACAATAGACTATTTTGAAATTTGAGATTTAAAAAACAGACTCTTTATGGATTGAGAAATTTTTTGAGAGATGATATTTCAGCGTAGGCGTGTTTGAGTGTGTAATACCTATAATGTATGTTAACTGATTTCTAAAAATTGGTAGTCGTTAGGCACCTTGCCAAGAATGAGAAATAGTTCGTTTGTGATTTTAGACGAAAATAAATAAAGAAGTCGCCTTTACAAAAATGTAAATCAACTAATTTTCTGACATTTTTAAATAAAATCACGAAATTAGTAAATAACTACTGATTGTAAATTCGACATTGCTACATGCCCAATAAACTTATGTTCCTTAACAGATTATTAGAATATAATATAATATAATTAAAATATTGAGAGTGTAAGTGTTGAAAAATTTCTATCTTAATCACATATTTTGAATTTTAGTTCGAAAGAAATAATTTTATTCTAAATTATAATTTTTGAACTCATATGTTTGGCACTTATATATGTATGTTTTCGAGGATTGCCATATTTACCTATAAACCTTTAAAAATAATAATGCTTGTGCTGATGAGATAGATGCTGTTGGGAATTCAGAGCTGCAAGCTCACAGAAAATTTAAGTTTTTTTTTTATTTAAATCATTTTAATGACGCAAGTCATTTGATTTTAAGTCATTTTTCGAAAGCTGACTTAAGACCTAAAATTTAAATCTTTTTCAAAATGACTTGCGATTTAAATCTTTATTCCGAAATAGAAAAAGATTTAAGTCTTTTTAGAAAAGGCTTAAGTCAGATTGTTATATATTTTTATGATACATTTTTAACAGCTGTATTCCTTTTAATGTTTGGCACTATTAGGCACCAGCCAAGAAGCAGAATAAAAATAATGCTTAACACTACTAGCAAACCAAACGTTAGTTTTTCGGATCCGGTTTTGATTATTATGTGTTACGCGTGCGTAGTGAGGCTGTTGTCTTTCAAGTGAATCTCCGACGTTATGTAGCCGGAAAGACGAACGAAAGGAATTTATCTCGAATATATTGAAGAGCACCTTAAAATCCTCCAGCCCTTAGCTTATGCCATAGATATATTACATAGTGATCAAAACACATCACCCCTTTTTAATAGACATGTATTCGATGATATCGAAACTGTAATGGTAGTAAGTACTGTAGTACTTACTTAAGTAGGTTCAATTTTATTAAAAAAAACATATTTTTGCGTTTGTAGTTGTACTGAAAATTAATCGTTTTTTCCAATACTTTATGGGGTTTTAGTCTCATCTGTACCAACAATTAAATAATAGTATGGCACTAGTAAGAAAAGCCTAATTGGTAATACTAGAAAATTAATATTAACATTTAAAAAAATAATTAAATTGATTTCTGGTTGTCTTGACTTGAGGATAATTATATTGATTTAAGTCAATTTACTGACTTAACTTGCAGATCATCATGATTTAAGTCAAAAATATAGGCTTAAGTCATAAAAACAACTTAAATTACGTTATATTAAGTCTTTACAAAAATGACTTGACTTGAAATATAATGATTTAAGTCAAAGACTTAAGACTTAAATCATTTTAATTTTAGAAATAACTTAATACTTAACACTTAAGTCGTAAACAACTGTCGCTGCAACAAGTCAGTTTTAAAACTGACTTGTGGCAGCTCTGGTGGGGATAAAATAGAGCCATTTGGCTATAAGGAATTATATCCCAACAGCAATATCAGCACAAGCATTATTATTTTTGAAGATGATGGCAGCATTCCTGTTCAAAGTTTTGACAAACCCCATTTTTCCTGCTGATGCAATGATGATTACACCCACTGCAGACATTCAGGAACAGAATGTTTGATTTTAAAACTCATCGAGTAGTTTAAGTTTCTGCGAGACAAATTATTTTCCTTCGCACCCTTCCCAGACTTCATTGGTGAGGTGGTATCTTTGAGGTGGTAGCTGCTGCTTATGTGAGTAGAATCAACAGTGATAATTGTTGGAGAGGTGTCCTGCCCACAGATGTATCATCTTTGACAATTAACACCGATAGATAACTCAGTGATAAGTCAATCGCAGTCGTAATAATGTCTATCAGAATCTTTATCTGATACTTTTACAATAAATGAGTAAATCCTTCATCATCTAGTTTTTTTATGTAACATGCTAATTAGACGTTTCTAATTACGGTAGTTGCATAAGAAATACTCTTTAGAAAGTGGCCGCAGTCATTTCTTCAGCAAAAACTACGTTTGGTGCAAGTACTCTGGATAGCCGGTCGGGGTAGCTGTTAAAAACAATGGTATTTCTAGGTTCAGTGTAATATCGTTTTACATATTCAACATATTTATAGAGAATGTTTGAAAACGTCTTGCTGGGCTGCCAGGCCGCACTCTGTGTAGAAGAAAACTACCGTCAATTACAAACACCGGTTTCATCAACAACTGCTGTTTCTCTTAATCTTCTGTAGTCAGTGAATAATGGAATAATTAATGGAAAATGGATTTCTTGTTTCCCGCATCATCTTCTAAAACTGAAGGTAAGAATTGTGCCAATTTAAATTCCAAGTAATTTCTCAGGTCTTGGTCCGATTTCTTGAAAAACAATATTCTTCTGTAAAAGTTTCATCTTTACCAATATATTCACCATCGATCCTAACTTTACAATTTTTAATTGAGAAGGGTGCCACTCGAGTTTTTCTACGAAATGAGACGTCTTTGAAGTTTGTATGAATTATTCTTTTCATGCTTTGTAATTTAAACTCATATACTTCGTGACAATTGATACTTTCATCACCTTTTAAGCTAATCGAAGAGCTAAAAGCAGACAATGTATTGGGATTGCCGCTAGATTGCAGCTACAAGATATAGCTTCAACAGCAAATTCAACATAACCATACCAGGAAGGGAAGACATGAAAAAAGATATACCCATTCGAGCTGAAAACAAAAACGTCTGAAAGTGTAGGAGCTGAAATAGTAGGGCCGAAACAAGAAATATCTTTACACGTAAGCCTATCTAATGATGTCACAATTTTCCAGGCGGAAGTAACGGCACCACTATTGTGTAGAAGAAATAATAAGGCAGCAAAAAAACACATCGGTGCACTCAGCGTTAACGGCATTCGGTTCCACGGGGATAACCAAATACCTTTAAATAAAATATACGACGGCCTCCCCATAAGAGCAATGAGAGGATTTACGTCCCAGTATTGAAGGACAGATAATCGAATCTGAATGGTTTCAGGACATAAGTTCATCCTTGTTCAGTCAAACCTCCTACAACACAAGGATAGACTTATGTAGGAAATGCATTGAAATTCTATAGCCATCCTTCAATATCGGGACAGGAATTTAAGCGATACCCTCTGTATATTTTATTTTAACGTATTTGGCTAGACTAGTATGGGTGCACCAAATACTTTGGGTGAGCAACACAATACAGTCAAAGCTGTATTGAATCTACTAAGAGGGCATGGTTACCTGAATAGGCATCTAAAGCTATATTGCAATATTAATAGGGTGAGTTTCCTAAGATGTTCTCTATGGGTATCTCGGAAACTACTGTAGATTAATTGTAGTCCGTTAAATCGGGAAAGAATTGCAGTTTTGTGGGGTCAAAAATATGCGCCTTTCAGATTTTTGAAAAAGTTCATGGTTTATTAGATATTTAGAAAAAACAATTTTTTGCTACTTTAAAAATTGTCCCAATTCCTATGAAATGGCGTTTGCAGGTTTAGGACCAGGAATTAAACAACCTTTTTTTTTAATTGCCGACGTTTCTACTTGTATTTTCGTCTTTATCAAGGCTATTTTCTGCTAAAAGGTCCTTATGTGTCAATAGATTTTAGCTGAAAATAGCCTTGATAAACACGAAAATACACGTCGAAACGTCGGCAATTTTTTGAATAAAAACAAATTTAGTTCCTAGTCCTAAACCTGCGAACGCCATTTCATTTATAATATAAGAACGTAAATCTACCACATTATAATTTATTTTAGACAATAAGTGTTCAGATAAAATTTGTAGGTAATCACATCCCTAATGAGTTTGTGTTCTCAAATTTGTTTTCTAAAGACTATCATTTTTGACATATGACACAAACATATGTTTTTTAGAAACCATAGTTGGCCATGACTTCATATAAAACGCCATTTTTAAGCTTTACAGCGATATAAGCTATAATATATTTTTCGCCAAAAAATAGTTAGCCAATTATAGTTAGAGTTATAGCCAATTCTTATCTTTCTTTTCTAATTATTTCACTTAGTTAAAAAGTTTATTTATAACTTATAAAAAGCATAATATATTTATTATTAAACGGTTCTTTACAATTTACATTACACAAACTAAAACTTAAAGAAATAATATCACTCCATACACTTTAAGTTATTTTAGAAAATGTTTAAAAATCCACCATTGTTTTGAGTACATAAATGCATCTTTTTAAAACCGAATTACTAGCTACTCTCACAAAACGACCGGTCGACTTAATTAAACTTCTCCCGTACCGCCTCTTCGAGTGTCTCTCTTAATTCATCAGTTCTTTTATAAACCTTGTTGTTAACCATACCGCAAAAAAAAATCTAAAATGGATAGGTCAGGTGATCGAGGAGGCCTATGCAATTGGTATCCGTGAGTTTGCATAATTATGCTATAAATAATTTTTAACATTCCTTTCATAATGGAGGTGTCATAATGAAAGTCATGCTGGAACCACTCTATTGATGCGCGAGTATCTAAATTTAGCTTTTCGAATATGTCTTCAAAAACCGTTCTCTAAAAAACGTAAGTAACGTTCACCGGTCAACGTACCCTCGAAAATGTATGGCTAAGAAACGGTGAACCAATAATCCTACACACTTTTCTTCATTTGAAAAATTCATATTTACAATTTTTGTTTATTTTAATTTACAAAGTTTGGATGTGACAGATTCACATTTCTGAGAGCAAATACGATTGAACTTGTTTCCATGGCTAACTAAGTAAAATTGTTTAAAAATGATAAAAATAACTATAACTCAGTAATTTAAAAAAAAAACATATTATAGCTTACATCGCTGAAAAGCTTAAAAAATTGCGCTTTTATGAAGTCATGGTTTCCATTTAAAAAAATATAATATGTTTGTGTCATATCATCAAAAATGACAGGCTTTAGAAAAAAACGGAGGACACAATCTCATTAAGGATGTGATTATCTACAACGTTTATCCAAAAACTTTCTGTCTTAAATAGATTATAATGGAATTAGGGATAATTATTAAAATAGCCGAAATTTGTTTTTTTATCGAAATATCTAGTAAGCCATGAACTTTTTCAAAAACCTGAAAGGCGTATATTTATGACCCCACAAAACTGCATTTTTTTCTATTTAACCGACTCTCTATCTCCAGTAGTTTTCGAGAAACTCATAGAGAACATAGTAGAAAACTCACTCTGTATATTATAAACTCCATGAAAATGTTATTTATGGCCAGCTTGGAGACCGATGATGGTTTGGCCGGCTTTCAGTTGTTCCTCGGAGAAGCCACGTTTGTTCTCGTTAGCTGGTTTGGGTCCTAGGTATGGGCCGGGCCATTCTGGGTGTTTGTTGGTGGCACGTCCAAGGGCGAATAGGGTGTTGGTTACCTGGGCGCTGTCTTTCTTTTCCCACAAGTCAACGGTTTGGAAAACGTCAACGTCAGCAACGCCATATTTTTTAATAGCAGCTTAGATAGTGTCCAGTATCCATATATTATACAGAAAAATATTAACTTTATATTATAAAAAAATAAGCTTTATACCAAAAGATCAAAGACGCATTATCAAATTGTTCATTAGTGAAAATGTGAAATAACCTATTAAAGAAATTTTGATATTGAAATGAATGGACACGAGTATATTTTATTTAATTAAATATTTTCATGTGATATAAATTTAAAGTAAATCTGTATTAAATATAAAATTCAGGTAATGGTATGACGTTTTCATCAAATTCATTACATATTGAATGAAATCACGCAGAACATTATATTTAGACAAAATATAATTAATATCAATCTCCGAACATATATTTATAACAGTCTCTACGCTAAATTTTTTCTGAAACTGAGAATAACACAAACAAAATTGTCATAACCTTCATGGTTTTCATCTCGGTTGTTTTCATAATAAAAGATGACTTTCAAAATATGTAATTTCGTTTTACCTCTCCTGTATCTCTGTTGCCTGACATTAATAAGGTTAAAAGAGATTTCTATACCTAGCCTACATATACAACCTAACTATACAACCTAACCTAACCTAACTTTTACGTAGAATCCAGTAACGGTAGTTGGGTGGGGGGGGAGGGGGGGATTTGTTTCTTAATATTTCCATTTTTTAAAAATTGACCACATGTTAGTTTTTTCTTATTTAATAGTATGAGTATTTAACAAACAACGACAAAAATCATAGTTTTAGATCATAATTCCTTCATATAAAATTCATATTGAAAATCCCTTTCCCACTATTTTATTTTTATAAGATATCAGAGAGATTTGAAGGTCTCGATAATTGCAACATTTTCAAAATAACCAGTTATCATTATAACTGAGGATGTTATAAAATTGACAATTTTGTTTACGGAATCTTTTGTTCACGAAGAAGTGGCTCAGATTTTTTTACTAATAACTGATATAACGCTCTTTTTCCACCAAAAGAGAACACTGTGTTCATTAATATTATAATATTCTGCATATGTCACTCTTGTTAATAGACAATAGTAGTAAAATGTGATGTAGTTCTTTTGTAATTAAACGTGATAAGGAAGACGGTTATCAGAAATTATAAGAATGAAATAGGTATATTCAGGTCATTCACACAGATAAAAGTCGATATATAATTAGAATAAATAAAAATATATTTTTAAGTGTTACATAATATATTCATAAATAAAAAGGTACAAAACGAAGTTAATACACTTCCTTCTCCCTCCTCCGACACCAAATTAAAACCATAAATAAAACGTAATTTTTCGGAAAATTTACTTTCCGATGATGATTTTGCGGCCAGCACCGATGTTCTGTCCGGCTTGGGTGGCACCCTTGTTTTGGCCAGCTTGAAGACCGATGATGGTTTGGCCGGCCTTCAATTGTTCCTCAGAGAAGTCACGTTTGTTCTCGTCAGCTGGTTTGGGTCCTAGGTATGGGCCGGGCCATTCTGGGTGTTTGTAGGTGGCACGTCCAAGGGCGAAGAGGGTGTTGGTCACCTGGGCAATGTCTTTCTTTTCCCACAAGTCAACAGTTTGGAAAACGTCAACGTCAGCAACGCCGTATTTCTTAATAGCAGCTTGGAAGCTAGAAATAAAAGTGTAATTTCATTATCTATATATTACTTTATACCAAAAGATCATAAATAACGCTAGACCAAAAATCAAGCTATATACCAAATGATCAAAAATGCATCATCAAATAATTCTTTACTGAAAATGTGAAATAATAATTACCGAAATTTTGATATTGTTATTAATGGATATATTATATTTGATTTTTTTTTTGTTTGATAAAAATTTATAGTAAAATCTGTATTAAATATGATAATTTGACTAATATGTTGTTAGATGAAATAGCACAGAAAATATTATTTAGCCAAAATATATTTAATATCAATCTCCAAACATTTATTTATAACAATTTCCACGCTATGTAGTAATTCTAGAAAACAAAGTAAATTTATGAAACGAACAGGTGCTAAAATAAAACTAAAATATTCAAGATGTAGTTAAACAACGTGCCAAGAACAAGTCAATTTTTAAGTTTAAATGATTCCACAAAATCGTAGCTTTATTATTAGATCAGCAGATTCTAGAACTCAAATGTTGACATTCTTGTTGACTTGCCGGCCATGTTTTAAAATAGATCGCTGAATTTAACACTAGCTACGTTTATGATCAGTTTCGAAATACTTTCGGTATTTCATTATTGTTTGACTTTTCAAGCATCAACCAAAGATTGAATTATGAGAAGCGTTCAACTAAATAATAACAAATACCGCTAGACTTTTTATCCGAAATTAATACGTACTTGTTGATGTTTTCCATGAATTTGAATTGGCCTCCAGATGTGTTGATTTTGGGAACGGATCCGGGGGCGAGTTTGTTGATGACTTGGCAGAGAATGGTACCGTCCTTGATAACATCTTCATAGAGTTGACCAGGGGGGAATTTAGCTCCCAAGATGGCTTCAACCCATTCTTGGGCTTCTTTGTCTTGTTGGGGACTGCGTTTAGCGGCAAGCTAAGAGAAAAAAAAGCAATTATTAGATTATTAGTGACAATATATTAAAGCACGTTACATTATATTTTTATAAATATTGTTTAAGAATTAAATCATATTTAACAACTCTCCAAATTAGAAGAAAAACTGTTAAAATATTGTTTAATAATTAATTTTATGGTATATTTTATTAAGACTAATTTAAAATCTATAAAATATTTATTTTTATAAAGTATTGAGATTCTGATTGAATCCAGACCTAATAATATAAACTAGATTCAACTATTGTTAATTTTTAAAAAGTTTTAATTGTTTTTAAAAGTTCTCATTTAATAATATTTTGTTATTTTATAATTTTCAAGAATATAAAAAGAGAAGAAGAGAAAAAATAAATTACACAAAAAAAAATAAAAAGTCTGGTTTTGATTTTATTCTTGTTCAACGACAGAAAATAGTTAGCTATGTGAGAAAAAAATCAAAAAGATAGAGATATCAAAACAATTAAATTAAAAAAAAATAAAACATTGATGAATTAAAAAAATTAAACTAAAAATCAAAACCAGAAAATTATTTTATCGAATAAATTGAATTAAAAAAAAGTTCAATTATCCTACCTTAGCCTGGACTTGACGTTCCAAAGACATTTTTTTGTGAGTTTTGCACTTAGGTGATCCAACGAAATGTTACACCCAACTAAACTGACTTCCAAACTAATTTTAAGCTTATATACGAGGTCGTGCTTTCGATCGACCCACCGAATTTCGGAAAACTCACGGCGTCTAATTTTAGAGAAGCGATTCAGTTTTATTTGTTTTAATACAAAAATTTGTAATCAAACCGCTCTGGAATATTTTGGAGACTTATTTGTAAAAGCGTCTCGGACCCGTTGATCATACACACGCACCATGGCATTTTTAAAAATTAGTTTTACGATGGTGATTGACACGAACATTTTATTTCTTAAATAATGTCTGTTAGTAATAAAGTGCTTGTATTTGAAAAAAAAGACTAAATAGTTTGATATTTGGAAGCTTGTTTAGGTGTTGTAAATATATAGAAAAAAAATTTTGTAAGGAAATATGTTTCTCGAACTATTGGTAATGTTGAATAATTATTTAAAGCATTTATTAACAACACATTCAATTTTTCATAGCAAAGAATAACAAAACAAAAAATTACAAAAATATTTTTATAGTTAATTTATAGCTAGCAAAAATAAAATCTATTGAAGGTTTTTCACATTAACATTTAATTTCTTGAATAATATCAATTGGTAATGTAGTGCTGGCATTTCAAAACTGAAACTAAATTGTTATTGGTTTGAAGCTTGCTATGTCTATTGTCCAATAACAAATTTTGTAATAAAATGTTTTAAGTAAGTGTAAATGTTTGAAGTACGTGTGAATAAGTAATAGTGTAGAAAATTTGAGGAATGAACATAATTGTTTTTTGAAAGTAATTAACATACTTTAACTTACCATTAAAATGTATTTTTGTTTCAACATTTTTTGTACTTTTTATTATCATTAATTTTCATTCTTATTTTGACATTTTATCTTCACAAACGCTAACTTAGAAAAAAGTTTGATTAGAAAATCTTGTATAAACAAAAAAATTAGTAAGGACAGTTTTAAATAAAAATTAAAATTGAAAAAATATACTTGATGGTGTTTTACATTAACATTTAATTTCTTGAATAACAGTCCAAGAAAATTGGCATTTAAATACGAAGTTTTGGTAAAAACTTGAATTTTTGATGTAAGTTACTTTAAAAATCATAAAACGAATTGTGAAGGAAATAAGAAAGAAAGAGAAATAAATAAAATTATTTTTTCGAAATTTCTAGAAACTACGACTAGAAAAAAAAGGTCAAATAAAAGTTGTAGAGCGAAAGAAAAATAGAGAATCCAATTTTACATAAAAATGGTCTCTATACTTTTTTGCTCAAATCAAAATTAAGCAAAATAGAGTGGCTAGAAGCTGGAGACAACTTTTATTGCAACATTTTTTTTTCAAAGTCCTTATCGTTTCTCTGAGGTTTAAAAAAAACACTTTATTTATATTTTTCGCCCTTTCTCGGGGTGAATTTAAAAAATCTTAATTAAAATTAAAATTTTTCCAAACAAATTGAATAAAAATGTTAAATATATGAATTTTTCAGCAACTTATAATTTTTTAAAATACAAGTTTTGCAAGGAAATATGTTTCTCTAACTATTGGTAATGTTGCATAATTATTTAAAGCCTTTATTAACTACATATTCAACTTTTCATAGCAAAGAATAACAAAACAAAAAATTACAAAAATAAAATCTTTTGAAGGTTTTTCACATTAACATTTAATTTCTTGAATAATATCAATTGGTATGTAGTGTTGGTATTTCAAAACTGAAACTAAATTTTTATTGTTTTGAAGCTTGCTATGTCTATTGTCCAAAAACATATTTTGTAATAAAATGTTTTAGGTAAGTGTAAATGTTTGAAGTACGTGTGAATAAGTAGAAAATTTGAGGAATGAGCATAATTGTTTTTCGAAAGTAATTAACATACTTTAACTTACCATTAAAATGTATTTTTGTTTCAACATTTTTTGTACTTTTTATTATCATTAATTTTCATTCTTATTTTGACATTTTATCTTCACAAACGCTAACTTAGAAAAAAGTTTGATTAGAAAATCTTGTATAAACAAAAATATAAGTAAAGACAGTTTTAAATAAAAATTAAAATTGAAAAAATATACTTGATGGTGTTTTACATTAACATTTAATTTCTTGAACAACAGTTCAAGAAAATTGGCATTCAAATATGAAGTTTTGGTAAAAACTTGAATTTTTGATATAAGTTACTTTAAAAAATCATAAAACGAATTGTGAAGGAAATAAGAAAGAAAGAGAAATAAATAAAATTATTTTTTCGAAATTTCGGATAAACGATAAGGACTAGAAAAAAAAGGTCAAATAAAAGTTGTAGAGCGAAAGAAAAATAGAGAATCCAGTTTTACATAAAAATGGACTCTATACTTTTTTGCTCAAATCAAAATTAAGCAAAATAGAGTGGCTAGAAGCTAGGGGGCGGCTTTTATTGAAACATTTTTTTTTCAAAGGCTTTATCGTTTTCTCTGTGGTTTAGAACAAAACACATTATTTATATTTTTCACCCCTTCTAGGGATGAATTTAAAAAAATTATAATTGAATTTTAAATTTTTTTAAACAAATTGAATAAAAATGTTAAATATATGAATTTTTCAGCAACTTATAATTTTTTAAAAAACAAGTTTTGCAAGGAAATATGTTTCTCTAACTATTGGCAATATTGAATAATTATTTAAAGCATTTATTAATTACACATTCAATTTTTCATAGCAGAGAATAACAAAACAAGAAATTACTAGAAGCTAAGCCGCAGCTTTTATTGAAACATTTTTTTAAAGTCCTTATCGTTTCCCTGTGGTTTGGAAAAAACGCATTATTTATATTTTTCCCCCCTTCTCGGGGTGAATTTAAAAAAATCTTAATTGAAATTTAAAATTTTCCAGACAAATTTTATAAAAAATTTAATTATTTTTTTTTAAGGTTCACCCCCGAGAAGGGGTGAAATAAATAAATAAAATTATTTTTTCGAAATTTCGGATAAACGATACGGACTAGAAAAAAATTCAAATAAAAGTTGTAGAGCGAAAGAAAAATAGAGAATCCAGTTTTACATAAAAATCAAAATTAAGCAAAATAGAGGTGGCTAGAAGCTAGGGGGCAGCTTTTATTGAAACATTTTTTTTTCAAACACACATTATATTTTTCACCCCTCCTCGGGGTGAATTTAAAAAATCTTAATAGAAATTTAAAATTTTTCAAACAAATTGAATAAAAATATTAAATATACGAATTTTTCAGCAACTTATATTTTTTTAAGCTTCAACTTTCATCCCGTAGCTTTATATTAACCGTATCTCGGTTAATTTTGATCTGAGCAAAAAAAGTATTGAGATCACTTAGAATTTGACGTTCCACAACTTTTATGAACTTTTTTTTCTGGTTCTTACCGTTTCTCCGAAATTTTAAAAAAATAATTTTATTCATTTATTTCACCCCGTCTCAGGAGTGAATTTAAATAATATTGTACAATTCGTTTTTAGATCTTTCAAAGTAACTTATATCAAAAATTAAAGTTTTAACTAAAACTTCTTATTTAAAGGCCTATTTTCGTGGACTATAATATCAATTGGTAATGTCGTGCTGAAATACCAGCCAATACCAAACCAAACCAAAAACTAAAACAAAATTATTATTGTTTTGAAGCTTGCTATGTCTGTTTAATATCTAAAAACCAATTTTATAATAAAATGTTTGTCTAACATTATTGGCTACACTACATATCTCGTAAATTTTGCTATGTATTGCAGAAAGTTTGTTCGAATAAAATTTGGCAAACATTTAAATAATTCAAGGTACAAAATTTTGTCATTTAAAGTAAAAACATATTAATAAACTTAATTTATAATTTTTTACAATTCCTTCCAAATTTCCCTTTAGTTAAAAAAAATAGGAAATATCTGATCTAATTCTAATTATAAGATTTTACAAGGATAATTATCTTATTATTATTTATCTTTCAAGAATTTTTTCAAGAGTGATTAAATTTTCTTTTATATAACAAGAGACACAAACAGGTAAGAACAAACATAATAATTTGCTTAAGTAATTAAGTAATTTTTCTTAGTAAGCATTTTTATTCAAAATTCATCCAGTGTCTGTATTTCAAGATGGATATTTTATTTTATATTGTACCGATAAAAAACAAATCTAGCTTCAAAATATCTGCCTAACTACTTAAGGTTTCTGATAATTTTATTCAAACCTATATTTGAATTGAAGGACATATTGTAATAACAGGATAAGTCACTCAACCAGGAATCAGTTTTATTAACTAGTAACTAGTATTTTTCTTGCCTTTTATCCAACAAATTTGTTAGATAAATACTTAGCGAGTTAAACAAAACTAACTCTAAAAAAACTCTTCAAATTTATTAATAATTAAATTTACACATTTTTTCATAACTGCGAAGCCTAATAATTCAGAATTATGTATTTGAGTTTATAATCATCTGCTGATGATGCTAACATGGTTAGCGAAACGCGCGTCCAGTGTAAAAGTAAAAGTGTTTTGGTGTATTGTGGTGATTTAGTGTAATTTTATTTTGCTGTGTAACACCAAAGGTTCCAACCCTCAACTGTAATAAGCATATCATGTTATTACAATAAGCCCTTCAATTCAATTCATCAAGTAAAACTATCATAAACATATCTTTTTTTCCACTTTACAGAAACTACATTCGTATAAAATTCGGTAATAAATATTTCATATAATCACAAATATAAACTTTCGATATTTATCTAAAAAAATATTTCTAATAGTCATAGTTTAAAGTTGATTCATTTAAGGTTCTTGCAAACTGTCCATATCTTTTCTTGTAAATTATTAATTGTAAAAAATAAGAAATATGTGAATAGAGTTATGGTAAAATTTTAAAATTAGTTTGTAGATGATTGATTCAATCATATAATTACAAAAGGATAACTGTTTTGTATGAAGATTAATTTAGAAATTAATTTCTATCCTTTTATAAAACAGGCTTGGTGAATTTAAAATACAATAATTATTCTTATGTGGATTTTTGTATAATAATATATATTTTTAAGAATTAAATACTCATTTACAATATTTTTATGCATTAAAATTGTTAAGTAATTTTAAAGAATAAACACATAT